ACTTACGGTGCCAACAACTATAGTCCGATTTTCCTAAGGTTAGTAGAATTGGGAAAAGCCTCCTCAGGTGGATTTTTCCACAATCTCGATGCCTTAGGCACAAAGGAGTGGTCGTATCGGCCAGTTCTGGATGTACGACGTTCCACACGGTTAATTAGTTAGTCCTGGGTGATCTGGACTACGACCAGCCGAAATGAACGGTTTTTTGGAAGAATTCGGCCATCCATCGCAACCAGATGAGCGCTAGGGCTAGAGCTATATTGCGTACTAGGTAAAAGGCTGTAAAGTTAATCGATATTCTAGTCTTTTCTGCGATTTGACTCGCCTTGCATATAAAATTGCACCTGTCTGGACGTTTTTAACTAAATAGGAAATTTATTTTTAGTGTCACGGTTGATATGCAACGGCAAGCGTATGCATTCAGATAAAAAAATGAGCTTAAAACGTAAACATGATTTATCTCACGATAATGCGATATTTTATACATTATTGGTATTTCACATAATTGCACATGATCGAAGCATAGTCAAGAACTTCTAATTTCAGAATAAGTAGCCTTTCGATATAAATATTGATGTCACGTGTTGTCACATTTCAACACCATATTCAGTAGAACATGTGTTTTTGATTACTTTATCGGGTAGGTACCAACATTTTTATTTCGGACCTAATATCAATATTTTGCCGCCAAAAAGTACATTCTAAGTGATTTAATTTTTTTCTAATGAACGAGAAGTAAAAATTCGCATTTCAAAGTTCTTACGTGAAATTTCGCCCTGAAACATACCGTAATAAGTTGTAGAGTGACGTAATGAGTTTGTGATGTATCGTACTGGCGCCCAAAAATATACGGAGCTTGCACGAAGCGAAAGATAACGAGCTGCAGAGATGCTGCGCAATAGTGCAAAGGGACACCGTTGCCACATGGTTCGGTAACAACCAGTAGAGCAGCGAAAAGAATTTCTGTGGACTAAATTGTATGGGCCTGTTTGACTGACTTGATACGTTTAATTTTTCGTCCGTACATGTCCTCAACTCAATATTTCTCAGAGGATTCAAACTGCTCTGAAATTAATCCTTCACGAACTGAAGATGGCGTTGCTTTGGAAGTGCAGAGTCAACCCACTTGACGCCATTTTTCGCAAACAAGCGAATATCTCAAAAACAGCTGTGCACGGTTAGCCGTGTGTTTTCAGGCGAACGAAAGCTATATTACTAGTTTTTTCTCATCTTCTTTGTTCCAGGTCGGTCCGTTAGATGGCGCCTATGGGCGAAGAGCAACCTACTGACCAATGGCAGCCGCCGAATGGACCGGTGGGTCTGTACGACCCTTCCCAGGAACGCGAGGCATGCGGTGTTGGATTTATAGCGGCCATCGACGGAAAAAGATCGAAGAAGATCGTCCACGATGCCCAAAGGTTGGCCATCAGCATGAACCACAGAGGTGCGTGCGCGTGCGACAACGATACAGGAGACGGCGCAGGCGTGCTGACCGCCATTCCGCACGATTTTTACTATACCAAGCTCAAGTAAGTCGATATCATTTTTGTTACGAACTTCAAACCAACGCTAAAGTTTGATACGCATATAGGTTCCTTTCACTATTTTTGGCGGTTACGGTTATACGAAATAAGTAAGAACCTTAACTAGTGGTACCATGTACTGTACAAGCCAAACCGTAACACAGCTGCTACTCGCTCTTGCACACACACACATACATATAACTTGAGTGCCAGAGGATCGCTGCTTTCACTCATTTCTGAAAATACTCATACAGACTGTCGACAGTTCTATCTTCGTACACTATGTTTTATATCGAAGATCAACATGTGTCAACAGAAATCAAGCGCCCATGACAAGCAGTTGTCATCGTGTCAATGGTAAGCACACATGTGGATGTAAATCAGTGATGGGACTATTTTTTTATTTATATAACCGGGTGTTCCTTAATGCTATGCGAATATTTAAAGGAGTGTGAATCGCATGAAAAAATTAATGTTAGTTTGCTTTATAAACTATGGTCCAAAATGTTTCCTTACAAAAACTCGGGATGTTGAAGTTTTAGGAAAAAATGGAAATTAATGAATATTTTCAGAACCGCTTCAGATATTTCACTGATATTTAGTACGTAGTGAAAGTTAATAAAGTCGCATATTTTTCAATGCAAAATAATGTTTATACTTTAACAGTGGCGTGCGTATAGGGTATTGACTTTTTAAGAAAAAACTGGTACGCCACATGGTTTTTCCTCGTTCAATTGAAACAACATGATATCTCTTGAATTGTTTCCTCGATGTGCCATTTTTGAGTAAAAAAATATAAACCGTTCTATTGTTCAACTTGCAAAATTATTATTAATTTAATTGGAAAAATTATAAACCACATTAGGGGTAATGAACAACAAACAACTTACAACATAAACATAATATTAAACCAACGAAATGATTACAGAAATTGTTGAAAATGGCCCCCTTCACTTAGTATGCATGCTTCCGCCTCCTTCTCATGGAATTGCGCACTCGTTGAAATATCCCTGGAGTATTTTTTATTCTATCACAAGCTGCAACTATTCTTTCTCTTAATTCCTCTACAGTGTTAATGGGACTTGTGTACACTTGTGTCTTAAGATAGCCTCACAAAAAGAGATCTAAATTGTTGAGGTCTGGGGAACTTGGTGGCCAATCCAACGATTTGGATAAACAGTTTGTAAATAATTACGAACCGCTAGACTCAAATGCGCTGGTGCACCATCATGCATGTACCACATGTTTGTTATTACTAATGGTACATCATCAAGCAGCAAAGGCAACTATTGTTGAAGAAAATTGAGGTAAGTCTGTCCGTCAAGTCGTCTCGGCAAGAAGAATGGACCAATAGAGTGGTTTCCAATAATTCCTGCCCATACGTTAACCGAAAATTGGTGTTGGAAATGGGTTAGGCATAGGGCTTCTCTTTGCCCACAAATGATTATTGTGGAAATTCTGAATGGCATTTCGAGAAAAATTAGCTTCGTCCGTGAACATAATCATTGATTCAAATTGCGGATTTTGTGTATTTTTTTTTTGAAGATACCACTGACAAAGGTCACACGCCTTGGATAACCAATGGGAAGTAATGCCTGTACTCTTAAAATATGGTAAGGATATAACAAAAAATCCACTAAAATTCTCCAAACAATTTGATGACAAATATTTAAAGTGTCTAGCGATCTTCCTCGTACTCGTTTCAGGATGTTCTTCGACTTCGTGCAGCACTGCTTCCTCAATTTCAGGTGTTCTCACACTTAGAAATATATGTAGTACCTATCCTGCTAGGCATTAATATGTGAGGATCTATGAGGAGACTCACAGTTTATGCTTCCATAATCTTGACATTCCAGAATCCCCCACATTCTGAAAAAGTAAAATTTTTGGAAAGTAGAAATATGAGGAGACATCCTGGAACAAACTTGTTTGATCGCCAAGTGACCCTACTATTAGCACCCTGTATACTTTCATCGCGGCAACCGATTCCGCTTTTTCCGAAATTAACGTTACTTTGCTAATTGCGAATAAAATTGCTGTGGAATAGATTAGCACGTGTCAATTAGGGCTTGATTAAATTCCAGTGCGTGAGTCTTTTCAATTAAAAGTCCCATTAGCCATTCATTTGTAATTTATTATATGTTGATTGTAGAGACGCATTTACGTAAGATGCATGTGTTGATAGAATCTAGGTATTACCATTGATTAACGTAGAGTACGTGGTATTACCCAGTTTTATGTACAAAATCGATATATTGTATATACATGTATACACAGTGAATATTTCGTTGTTGAAAACTTACTGGATAATTAATTTTTTGAAATGTTGAACAGATACTAGGTTTCGGAAAAGTGAGAAAAATTCGCTACTGTATTTTATGAACAAAAGCTACATGCAGATCTTGTTAATCTATAGGATTTGTAAAACATGATTACGTGCATTTTCAAACGTATCACGATGGTTTCTTATACAGGGTGTTCCTTAATGATATGCGAATATTTAAGGCTGTGAATCTACATGAAAAATTAATGTTAGTTTGCTTTATAAACTATGGTCCAAAAATGTTTTCTTACAAAAACTCGGGGTGTTGAAGTTTAGGAAAAAAATTGAAATTAATTAATATTTTCAGAACCGCTTCAGATATTTCACTGATATTTAGTACGCAGTGAAAGTTATTAAAGTTGCATATTTTTCAATGCAAAAATAATTTGTAGCTTTAACAGTGGCATGCGTACGGGTATTGACTTCGATATTTTTAAGAAATAAATGGTACGCCAATGGTTTTTTGCCAATAAAAATTATTTTTGAATTCCCCGTTCAATTTAAAACAAATGATCTCTCTTGAATTGTTTCCTTCGATGCGCCATTTTTGAGTAAAAAAATTAAAACCGTTCTATTGTCTAACTTGCAAAATTATTATTTAATTGGAAAAACTAAACACATTAAAGGTAATGAACAACAACAACTGACACATAAACATAACATGAAAACCAACGAAATGATTATAAAAATTATTGAAAATGTCCCCCTTCACTTAGTATCCATGCTTCCGCCCTCCTTCTCATGGAATTGCGCACTCGTTGAAATATCCCTGGAGTGTTTTTCATTCTATCACAAGCTGCAACTATTCTTTCTCTTAATTCCTCTAAAGTGTTAATGGGACTTGTGTACACTAGTGTCTCAAGATAGCCCCACAAAAAGAAATCTAAACTGTTGAGGTCTGGGGACCTTGCTGGCCATTCTTGAGGCCCACCGCGGCCAATCCAAGGATTTAGATAAACAGTTTCATCCATATCATTAAGGAACACCCTGTATAGTTACATACATATAACAATTAAACGCTTTTCCAGAGATGGACTAGCGCAACTAACGACTTTTTAATTGGAGATCTTTTTGATTAGCTTATAGTAACTATTTTTAATATGAGCCGTTTTCATGATGCGATTTGCTGCCCACGCTACTGGCGGGGAAGTATTGTAATCATTCATTTCCGTAGGTCTATCTGTCCGCTGATACTTGGACCGTCTATAACTTGGAAATTACCGCTCGGATTTTCTCTCAGGGTTACTATTACACCAACGACGAAAAGGCTTTATTGTTTTTGAAAATCGATCCATTTTCGGCGGATCTGTGCGCTAAAAAAACAATAAAAATACATACCTCAAACTTCATTTTTTTTTATGTTTTAGTGGCTCCTGATCATTTTCGGAAATGTTGTGTGGGTTATAAAATGGGGGTTGTATACGGAGGGGTGGGGAGTGTATCTCAATTTTCTGTCGTTACTGTACTCGTACAACCCGGTAATACTACGTTCCTATCAAGCATATTTCGCACGTCATAGATTTTCCCATATATTTGCTCTCAAAACTTAAAACGATAAGAAAAATAGCGTTGCGTGGAAAGTACAGAGTCAACCTACTTGGCGCTTTTTTTTTCGTGAAATGCTGTCAAAATTGTTGTTCTTTATGCCAACTCATTAAATATAGTATTGCCTGTTTATAATTTGGAAACTAGTTAAAAATTTATGAAGTACAAACTAATCAAATATTGATTTTTCAGGACTTTTTAAACATCATTCAGGAACCTGTACAAACAATTTTCAAAGTTCGATATCTTCGCTATTTTTGAAACGATATATCCTTGAAACAGCATAAATGAAGTATGTTTGTGATACATTAATGAAACAGCATTTTAGTTCCTAACAAAAAAGCTATTCTTAGATTTTTTATATCGACGTAAATAGATTATGGAACATAATAAATTTGAAATTAAGTAATTTACTGGTTACTGAAGATTGCAGTTAATCTATGAATAGTGCATTTAGCTTTTTTGATAATTTGTTAGGCTTTTCCGATTAAACTGGCACGGATGTAAATAAATAGCGTCAAGTAGGTTGACTCTGCATTTCCCACACAACGCTGTCATCAGTTCGTGAAGGATTATGTATGGCACAAGTTATCCCCTCTAGGAAAAAGTTAGCTACGAACATGTATAACGAAAAATTAAATGACCTTCCTCCGCCCTCTGAGAGGAATTGTTGCGTTGACTAATCCCTCGTGAATGTCGATATTTGCCTTCACCGTGCACAGAACAGCAGTGTGGAAGCGATTGCCGACTGTGGCGTACGACCACCGACGACGGCGCTTGTCCATCGCACGTATCGACTCGACACACAACTGTAGAAGTTTTAAGGGTACGGGGACATCTATGATGAGTGAAGTATTCATAATATGTGCGTAGAATTACTGGGCTTGCAGGCGTGTAAATATTCCAGAGTCTAATAATTGAGATATACCCTCCTCCACCCCCTGCAATCTCTAACGACCTATTTTTAACCACTACAAATTTTTTTTCGAAAATCATCAGTAAACGTCAAAAAACGAAGTGTGGTGTGGCATAGTAGCAACATTGTGTAAAATTTTCATAAAATATTTCTCAAGTTATTAGCGGACAGACCGACGGAAATGAGTGACGTGGTTTTTCGTGATGTACATGTCATATAACATCCAAAAAACATCTCATTTTCGAAATTTTCCACGATTACAATACTTTTCCGCTAGTGGACGTGGAAAATAAAATCATTTGAAAGGTTGGGCATCTTCTTGTAGGATTCGTTAATCAATGATTTAACAGGAAAGGACCCTGTACAAAACATATGGAAAATGTCTAAAAATTGAGTATGATTTATTAGTTTCTGAGAAGTAGGGGTGAGAGGTTTGGCCGATATCCTCAAACGGCGAAGGAACCAATTGTTATTCTCAGACCAAATGCTCAGAAAATTGTTATACTGAAGAAAGTATTTTATATAAAAAACCTTTTAGAAAGATGCTGGAAGGTGTCTTGTCCGTGATCCTTACAATGTCAACTTAGAGGCAATCCTATTTTTATACGTTGACACTAAAATGGATCTGGCACGATTAAACGCTTCACAAGGGCTCAGAAAAGGTCAGAAAACTGGTGATTGAAGGTCTAATCTGTAATTTGTATACTTTGGGGACCTCGGTTGGCCGCGTGGGTCAGAGTGTCGTGCTACTGATCAGCCGGCCGGCCGGGCCGCGAGTTCGAATCTCGCCTTCGCCATGGATGTTGTGTGTTTGTTTTAGGCAGCAGCGGTGGCCGCAGTAGTAGACTCTTCGGTCTCCTGATCAGTCGCCGTACGCTGTGCGGGTTCGAGTCCCGTCCCAGGAGAAATGTTTCTCTTGGCCATGGATGTTGTGATTGTCCGTAGGTGGTAGATGGTCTCTGACTGTCGAACGCGGAGGTACCACCCGGCGGTTCTCGTAGGCGGAGCCAGAATGTGTGCATGTTGCATGCACACGTGTTCCCTCGCCAGAGTCCGTGTGGCGTCCCCCCTTTCCCATGTATCCCCATAGCCCCACGGTACCCAATGGGTGCTTAGGCCTTAGGCCTTCGTGGTAGTTGGAGTATAAAAAAAAAATAGCTGCAAGGAAACCGCAGTGCATAGTGAGGATTTGTGTCCTAACAATCTGTGTTGATAATTCCATTGATTTCTTGTCTCAAATACATTTGCTTGAAATGTATGCAAATCTAAAAATTAGTTGCCATCTGCTTTGACTTATTCAACCTGGAAATTAACATACGCAAGTTTGCTGAATTTCAAAAAAAAGAGAGCGATAAGAAAAGTAAATCCCTGATTGGTGAAGTATATAAAACTAACAGGTCAGACAATATGGTACATACAAGGAATATTTATGAAACGTAAAAAAGTTATTACATTTCACATTAATGTTTATTTCCAGTCATTTAAATTTTATAGAAATTTATTTTACGACATCAAGTATAAAACACAAATCACCGCCCGGATGTGAGGCAGTTCGAAAATGTTTTGTATTCACATACATTGTGTTGATTTTAATTTTTTATTATCCTTCCAGAGAAGAGCAGAATGTGCAACTGCCCGGTTTCGGCCAGTACGCCACCGGCATTTTTTTCCTGGACAAACTGCACCATCAAGAAAGCGAGACCCGATTCGCTGAAATCGCCGATGAATTGGACATTTCGGTACTCGCGTGGCGCACGGTACCAACCAATAATGCGACCATTGGTACTGTCGCTAAGAATTCGGAACCGTTCATGAGGCAAGTGTTTCGTGGCTGTTAGAGGCGATGTCTCTGAGGCGGAGTTGGACAGAAGGTAAGAGAAAAAAATACCAGCTAAAGGATTCTATTCATTTTGGCTCTCTCTTGATATCGGGAATTTAATTATATTCACTTTCCACTAATGATGCTCGTGTATCATTACGTGAGAAATACTGATTCAAATTTGCTTGAGCAAATTTTTTTTTCATGTTTCAGGTATTTCATGCTTCGAAAGAGAGCCACTCACCAAATCCCGTCCCCCGGAAAGAGGTTTTACATTTGCTCGTTGAGTCGACGAACTGTTGTCTATAAAGGACAGTTGACCTCAGACCAGCTGTGGACCTATTTTCCTGATCTGCTGGATCCGATGTACGATACTTATTTGGCATTGGTGCATACTCGATTTTCAACTAATACTTTTCCAAGCTGGGAGAGAGCACACCCTCTAAGGTGAGATCCAATGCTGATTTACTAAATCTTCTTAAAATTTCCACTTCCGAGTAACAGTGCAAAACATGGAATGAAGAACCGGTGGTTTTACAGAGAACCGAGTATTTGTATTATATTTTCAATCTTTCCCTTATCTCATGTTTATTTTATGTATAGATTTATAGATAATATGCTTTATTGTCTGAAGTATACAATGATTCTTAATGACAAAGGAAACTTGGAACTAAATAATAACAAATTAAAATATTTGGATCTTGACTAAATGTATTGTAGAACTGATACAAGGTATAATATGGTTTATTTATTAGAATGTTTTTGAGTTCACGATCGAATGTCTTCAACTACCCTACTATTAACTCAAGATCTTGTTTTCGCCTAATTTTTCAAATTTAGATTTATTTTTAAATTTTCCTAAAATGGACAAGCTTTATGATCTCCAACATAATCGACGGGAATTGTTTTAACATTTTGAAAAATCTGGGATTCTTAAGTTTCTTTGAAATAAAAAAAGGTCATAAATTTTTTGCGGCACTGCTATTGAACATCAAAAAAATTAGAACATACATTTCTATCCATTCACTCATCTAATATCAATATTTTCTGTTTTTCCGTACCAGTTATTCTTTTGATAGTTTCCCTCCATTGCAAGTTTCCCCTTTTAATTTATGAGTTTTATCTGGTAGCATTTTAGAAAACATCCCGGCTTCATCTGCATTGAATATGTTATCATCTGAATAATCACTGGCTATTACGGGCCAAACTTGAGAAATCCAGTCATTGGTATCGTTCTTGTCGACTGAAGCTGACTCACCACACATTTTTCCAAAAACAATGTTATGTCTTTTCTTAAACCTGTCTGGCCAACCGGAACTACATTTGAAGTAATCTCCATTCAATTTCCCAAATTCTTCAGCCTTTATTTATAGCACTTATTGGAAATTATTAGCACGCTTTTGTTGAAACCATTTAAACAGCATATCATCGACTTGGGGATGCAGCGATACCCGCATTTTTTTCTTTTGACTATCTGATTTTCAGTCATTTTTAATTTTGGCACGGTTTTTCCAAATATTTGACACAGTGGATTTTTTTATAGCCATACGAGCACATATATTTGCTTGAGGTGAACCCTGCTCAAGCTCACTAATTATTGTGAACTTTTCGTGTAAAGTGAATGCACGTTTCGCACTTTTCGACATGTTTATAACTCAAATAAATACAGTATAACACTGGTGGCCAAGTTCGAATGCAAACTGCAAAGCCAAATCGCCGGAAACGATTGCATCAGCTAAATCCGCTTCAGCCAAAATAGCTGATATATAATGGATTAAAATAGTCCGCTATAAGCGAGGGTCTATTTTAAGCCAGTCTATAATATCCGAGGATTTTACATGCAATTATTTATAGAACCTTAAATATAGTCCATTATATACGGGTTTCCATTATAAGCAAGTTCATTATAAGTGGATTCCACTGTATTTCAAGTATTTTGAGAAATGACACTCCTAAAGAGAGTGCCGCATCTTAATTTACTTGCGAATAAGGCAAAGTAACTACTTAAGTCTGTCCTTTTCGCTACGTTGTAACTAATTGTTCTTATACCTGTAATATCAGAAACCTTTGCCAATTAAGTAATCAGTTGCTCTACATGATTAGTAAAATCTCAATAGTTTGTCCCAAAAATGTAATAATGCTGTATTTTTTATATATCACTTTATAAATTTATTGAACCATGGGAGTATTTAAAACTCATATTTTTTGTCTAATCGACAAAAAGATTAGTAATTGCTATCGCAATTTTTTGATTGCTTGTGTATCACTGCCAATTTTATAAGGAAAGTTTTTTTACCTATGGACGAAAGCATTTTTAGGCATTATATGATTTACCTAATAATTAGAAGCTTGAGTTTATATATTGATGTGTTTATGAATAAAGAACGATTTTTGTGATGATAATTTTTTGCAGAGTTTTAGCTCACAATGGCGAGATCAATACGTTACGAGGTAACGTGAATTTCATGAAAGCTAGAGAAGGAGTCATGAAAAATGACGATATCGGAGACCAACTCAAAACTTTGTATCCTGTTGTCGAGCCGAATCTCTCCGATTCGGGAAGTGCAGATTGTGTCCTGGAATTTTTGGTACATGTCGGTAACAGGAAATTGCCCGAGGTAAATATGAAGGGTTATTTATATTTTGTGTCAACTTGATGGTTATGCTAAGAATTCCTGAAATGTCCAACTATGTCGTGTTTTGCACATTGAGACTTCCCCTAACGAAGCATATAGTTATTGTCTGTTTGTTTAAGATTTATTTATCATGTCTACATTCACACAATTACCTTCTTTGGAAAAAAATCTCAGACGCCGCACGCCGTCTAGGTAAACCGACCGGTTTGTTTATAATTGGAGTTAAAAAACCGAAACTGACACATTCCTATAGCAACAACGAGCTTGCCGATTTGATATTGGTTTTTTGTGAATGTCTTGATGATGCTTCTTGTGTGTATTCAGATAGTTTTCCTAGACGATTCCATCCCGTGCCGCGTAGGTTTGTTTATATCGTGCAAATACATTTTGTAGGAACATCGAAATGTGTAAAGTTGAGCAGTATTTATAAGCAACTTGTAACAGGGCGGTTCTTGAAATTGTTCATTGAATAAACAGTGAGAACTTTTTGTTTTTCTCTGCTATTCTAGCACGCTCTAGTTTAATTAATTTCAAACATAGTTGTTTGCGAAAAGGAAAGTCCGAACTTCCAGAACTCCTCGCCTGATGCAACAGGTGTTTAATGAATTTATTTTATAAAAAAATTATAGATTGAAATGCCTTCTGCATTATTTCATAGAAAAACAGGGTGATAAAATGCGGAATTTTCTTGTAGGCCGTAATGACTATGGTGCCTGAAGCCTGGCAAAACGACCCGACGATGTCCGAAGAAAAACGGGACTACTACCATTGGGCGGCTTGTACCATGGAACCTTGGGATGGGCCAGCCTTAATCTCTTTCACCGATGGGCGATTCATCGGAGCCATTTTGGATCGGAACGGTCTGAGGCCTTCCAGATTCTATATTACCAAAGATAACATGATGGTTATGGCTAGTGAGGTAAATTCATAGTTATAGCTATCACTTATTGACGTGTTCTATCAGAAAATACCAAATACAACTATAAGCAGTGTCTGCGCAAAAATAATGAACAATTTTCTTTAAAAGGAATATGGGGACTGTTTTGTAACTGCCAACTTCTGGACCTAACCAATTAGTCTACAGCACCAACTGGATCGACTGTTAGAGACACATTCAATCCTATCCACGCCACTATTCCTTTGTTCTTTAAAGCTGTTTGGTGCCCCTTCTGGTGGCGTTGATACTGGTTCGAATGCCGCCGGCGCCTATTTTTCCTTTCTCTCAAGTTCTTGTTTAGTAAACATACTCGCTGTTGCTGATGCGCTCAACCGAAAAATCGTATACAGGTCACTGTCTTCGCACGGTGGTACCATGGTAAGTGCCCACGAGACAGCAAGGTGCAACTAGAAAGCGATTGGAGATACCTTACCAATCCGGTTTGTTTCACTTGAACGCCGTCAGATGGAGCATCAAGCAACTTGAAAAAAGGCGAGAATAGTAGCGTGGGTAGGATTGAATTTAATATTGCACCCTGAAAGTTGATTCGGATCCACGGAATGGAGGAGAATCCCTCATTTTTAAAATTGCAAATGCCACGGAAATTTATGAATTCTGTGTGCATATAATTTTCATAGCCAAATGTTTTGTTTAACAGAGCCGCCAATCATTTTTTTATTTCTAAATTTGTATTTGTACGTAATTCGAAAATTATTTGTCTTGCGCGGCCTGAGTAATTTTACTTATATTTCAGGTGGGTGTATATGATGTGGACCCCTCGCAAGTTATTTTCAAAGTCGTTTGAAACCAGGTAGAATGCTGTTGGTAGATACTCAAGAAAAAACCGTCATTCAAGACGTTGAATTGAAAAAAGAATTGCAAGATCTCGACCTCATTCAGACTGGTTAAAAGAACAGGTAATCACTTGCTTATATTTATGTCTCTGGTAGCATTTTCAGTTTGGTTATTCGTATGTTACTACCAGGGTGAAAGTCATTAATATTTAAATCATGATTCAATTACATTCAAAAGCTCCGAGTATAAAAGTTGTTATGTGCAGCAAAAAAAGTAACTGATTCTTAATTCAGAAAATGTAGTTGATTCAGTATTATGGGTGATCTCCTGGTAATAATATGCCTATGTTATTGTGCCTGGTTATAAAATTTATCAAGTAACTTGTCAGACGTAAACCAGATCTAATGTGGATTGTATTGTTATTGTATCGAGTCTGTGAGTATAGTTGAAATATGGTTGAAATACATCATTTAATCAACATATATGGTATTGTCATAATGAGTAATCCGTTTTTTCTGTTTTGCATGACATGGGTGATCTTCAGATGGTGAGTTGTGTGAGCTTAAAGCCTAAGGATTTTGGAACTTGCATACGTAGATGTTACCATGTTTTCCTTTTTTCCTTCTTTGGTCTTTTTCTATAATGTTGCTATATTGGGTTCATTTAATGGAATCTGGATTTTTAGTGTATATGATGAGATGGGATTACGGTTTCACTACTATAATGCAAGCAACAAAAGTATTAATAAGTTACAGAAAAGACTATTTAGCGCGAACCTTGCGATCAGGGTTGAAACTTGTGTCTTTTCTAACAAGAAAAACGGTTTGAAATAGTACTACAGTAACATACATTTAGCAGTGAAAAATACTCATATAAATACTTCTGGTATAATGTTTTTTTCATGCATAATAGATATGGTTATAAGTAAACCATGTCGATAATAACTGAAGTTGAACAACGAACAGTATCTATTTGATTCAATGAGACATTTTCCCGGCGCCAGTTTCCGTTATCAGCGATCCACAGGGGACCTTCTAGCTCACGTCACGCAATTGTGGAGGAAACTCATCCAGTCTTATGGTGGGGCTCATGTCGTTGTCCTTGACATCACGAAAGCGTTCGATCAGCTGTGACATGCTGCCCTCTTAAGCAAACTTCCATCCTATCGCCTCCCAGAAAAGCTTTGCAGATGGGCGGCTGACTTTCTCTCTGGCCGAAAGATATCCGTCGTAATTGACGGGTTCTCCTCTTCATCCCACAACGTCAACGCGGGATGAAGGGATCGGTCTTGGCCCCGACACATATCAACGACCTCCTTTTCTGCACGATCAACCCAATCCACAACTTCGTTGATGACAGCACTCTACATGCAGGAATTCAGTGTGACAAGCCGATCTCTGCGGCTGAGCTGAAAAAATAAGACTAGCGACGACTTCTTTACTGGCGAGGGACTTGGAGGTTATCACTGCTTGTAGACGGAACAACCTTGTACAGTTTAATGCTTCCAAAACACAGTACTCTACCTTGACGAACAAAAAGCGTCCCAGCGCTCATCCGGTTTCGATGGATGGCCGAGTTCTGCAAAGAGCTATGGCACGAACACATCTCGTCAATAGCTGCAGCTGCTGGGAAAATGCTAGGCTATTTGTTTAGGGCTAAGAAGTACTTTTGTCCGCATGACCTTCTCACTCTATATAAGGCCCAGATAAGGCCTAGCCTCGACTATTGCTCACACGTTTGGGGTGCTGCCGCCCCGACTACATTATTTATGCTCGATGCTGTCCAGAGGAGGGCTGTCCGACTTATCGATGACTCTTCTCTAACAGTCTCGGGACTCTTTCGGACAAGGCGGGCCGTCGGCGATCTAGCTCTCTTCTACCGCTACACAAACGGGCTTTGCTCTTCAGAGCTCTTTTCCATGATGCCGCCGCGCGATGTGCCTGCCAGACTGACCCGCCTGACTTTGATCACCCATCCAAACCGTGTCGAACTTCGTACATCCCGAACTGACCGATACGACCGCTCCTTTGTCCTGAGGGTTTGTAGATAATTCTATTAACCTTAGGCAGCTCAAAAATCGGATCGGATTAACAAAATTATTTGGGAGCGGTGTCCCGGCATTTAGGCTTCTGCCTGCGCGGCTGCTTCGGTATATACAAAAATACAGTACTGAGCAAAACATGACAAGACCATGGCTCTCATGAAAATGTACTTCTCGATTGTATTATGAATCCAGATTTCATTTGAAACTATTTTCCGTTTCTCATAACCACATGGTAGCTTTTTTGTAGTTTTGTGCTAACTTCGAATTGTAGCACCTTTGATATCATATTCTCGATTCGAACTGTGTTTGTTCCATAGATCACCATTGAAGAACTCAGGAAGGCTCACCTTGATGCTGGTAATCCTACCAAACCAAAGTATGAATCAAGTGGACTTGCTGACAAAAGATTGGCTCTCTATGGATACTCTACCGAAACTATCCATATGCTGTTGATGCCGATGATTAACAACAAGTATGTATGATTAATAACATGAATTATGTTAAAAAAAATAATTAAAAAAAACAGCAAACAAAGTTCTTCAGAAAGTCGAGAGCATTTTTGGATACAGTAAAAAAAATACAAAGAGTTTGCTTGGAGAATTAAATGAGAAATGATAAAAAATGTTCATAAAATAGATATATCCAAAATCCTACTATTATTCCTAATGCACAAATAAAATGCTTGCTGTTTTTCAACCAACATGTTTTTTAGACAGCCTTTATACGAGGGATGTCTTTTAAGTTTGCATAGAGAAACATAGTAGGCCGCGCGGATCGATCGTCAGTACTGAATCTTAACCTCATCCTTTAGTAAACTCAAATTCAAAGTTTCACAACAATACGTGCAGTGTTCTCACTACCGTGAATTTTTAAGTGTCACCAAGTCATTAGAAAAATGGAACTCACCGATAACATTTTCGCGCCATAATTTATTACAACTTTCAGAGACAATTATCGTAACAAGAATGCCTTGCTGAGTTACTGTCTGTTGTCGGCAACGAAGCGCCACATCAGTCGACAATTTCCCGTTGGTATGGAGAATTCAAACGTGGACGGGTGAGTCTTAGCGACGATCCCAGGGTGGGTGAACCAAAAACGGCCCAGGAAAACGTCGATGCTGTGCGCAAACTCATCATTGAAGATAGATATGTGACATATCGCGAGATTGAGGCGTCCTTGAAGATCTCAAAGACCTCAATTCAAAAAAATTTACATCAAGAATTAGGAGTAAGACAATTAGTTTCTCGTTGGATACCCCTCCTGTTGACTGAAGAGCAGAAAGCAGCCAGGGTTAATTGGTGTCAAAAAACGCTTGACCGTTTCAATTCCGGAAACTCAAAAATGTGTACAGCATTGTTAGTGGTGATGAATAGTGGACTTACCGTTATGAACCAGAAAATAAACGTCAGTCGGCTGTTTGGGTGTTCCAAGGTGAAGAAAAGCCAACAAAAGTCATCCGTTCTCGAAGTGTTTCGAAACAGATAGTCGCGACGTTTGTGTCAAAAGCGAGCCATATTGCAACAATTCCTCTTAATGAGCAAATAACTGTTACTGCGGATTGGTATACCACTATTTGTATGCCAAAAGTCATCACCGAGCTTCGAAAAATCAACGCCGAAAGAAGAATCATCCTCCACCAAGACAATGCAAGCTCGCACACAGCCCAAAAAAGCAAGGCAGTATTTAACGGAAGAAAACGTGGAATTATTGGACCATCCTCCATATAGTTCCGATCTAAGCCCTAAAGATTTCTTTACTTTCCCGAAAATTAAAAACAGACTGCGTGGTCAAAGGTTCCAGTCACCAGAAGAAGCAATTGACGCATTCAAAAATGCCGTTTTGGATCTGCCAGCAAACGAGTGGAATAAGTGCTTCGAAAATTGGTTCGAGCGCAAGCAGATGTATAGTAATCTTCGTGGAGAATACTTCGAAAAACAATAAAGTCATTTAAAACTACCTACCGTGTTGTTTTATTTCCATATGCAAAACTTAAAAGACATCCCTCGTAAATGTCGGTTCAAAAGGGTATTATTAAGGATATAACAAGACAGAAAAGCCAACTTCATTCGTCAATCACTTGAATACCACGGTAAACTTTAAATTGCTGTTGTCAGAGTGATGCAGGGAGCTAACCAATTTAAACATTTTCCAGGAAAGAAGCCCTTGGAAGCATGGGTAACGACATTCCACTGGCTTGCCTTTCTGAATTTTCACCATTGCTTTACGAATACTTCAAGCAACTATTTGCACAGGTGACAAATCCTCCGATCGACCCATTCAGAGAAAAGGTTGTCATGTCCCTACAATGTCCAATTGGACCAGAGGACAATATTCTGCAGCCAAGTTCAAAACAGGTAATTTTACTAATAATCCAAAAGGCTGAACCTTCACCCCCCAGTGAAACAGTTGATTTCGTCCCAATATTAATTAAAACAAACGTTGATCAGCTTATTTCTCCAGATGCCCAATCCAGTTAAAATAAGAATTTGTACCGTCGCACAGTGATCTATTCTACGAAAACCTGGCAAATATTGAAATAATAAATTATGGGTAATTGATGAAAATGATTTTCTATTTTATAACTGAGATTTTAAACAATAAACTGGCGATGGAATCAGGATATTGCTTACACTACCTTTGCCATGGCAGATTATTAAACTTGAAGTTTTAGGAGTATCATACGATGCTACTTACTAAGGGTAAAATTGGAGGGTTTCTGTATCATTCGTAGTGTTGTGTGTTGAACATATTTGAACGTCTGGATCATAATGAAGAGAGTATGAACTTTCATTTGTTGTACTAGAAAACTGTCGTTCTTGGTGTTTTGGTGTAGAGCGTGAGTTGAACTAATAACTAATTATGCCGTCTTGAAGAGTAAAAAAAGTTTCAGCGTTAATGTGTTTTCTATCCATCCCAATAAAGTCAAGAAAAAATAAGAACGATTTTGATAAAATCCAATTTTTCTCGACGCTCTTCAGAGATACTTGGCATTGCAAAACTTTCTAAGTGCCATTTTCTTAGTTACCCAAATGCACAACCTTGTCCTCAGCGACTTCGTACCTCTACATCCGATAGATTGTTCGATCCTCAGATTCTATTCGACTTTTTATCTTTTATAGGTGCACCGATTATGGCTGAAAAACCCAGTGATCTCCATCGCCGATTTAGAGGTGATAAAACTAACAAAACACCGAAACTGGGCGGCACATGTGATAGACATAACTTTCCCCGCTTCGGAAGGTATTCCAGGCTTCCTGAACAAGCTAAAAAGCATCTGTGAAGAGGCGAACAATGCTGCGAGGACAAATCAGATTATTATTTTGTCTGATAGGCATGCAGGGCCAGATAGAGTGCCTATAAGCATCCTTCTTGCCTTAGGTAAGTCACCTTATTATTTTATATGATTTTATAGATAATTTTACTGAAGATGTCCATATATTGTCTTCAGCTCTCTTTGCAGTCAGTTAGTATCTGTTCCATCTTCAATAGGGTTCGACAGTACGATGTACGTTTTAGGAAAAATGGAGGAAATGCGATGAGATTCACAAACCCCAACCAATAGAAAATTTACAGCATTTATGATGATAAAGTATAGATTGTCATTAAAAAATGTCACATACCAAAAAAGTCTTGGCTGAAGCATTTTAAAGTATTCAGAATGTATTTTCAGCGTGCTGGTTTCTAGATTACTAATGGTCCAATATTTTTTTGGTCTAGGTGCAACCCATCATCACCTTATAGAGACCAGATCTAGAATGAAGGTGGCGCTAGTGTTGGAAACAGGAGAGGCTCGTGAGGTCCATCACATCTGCGTTTTGTTAGGTTATGGAGCTGATGCTATTTGTCCCTATCTAGCTCTAGAGTTGGCATCCAGTCTTCGTGATCAAGGTATACTTAGGGTTGTGACTGAAATATCTCGTGGCTGGAAATGTTGAAACAATTTCTAGTTGTTTGCAAAATTAGAGCAGAGATATAAGAGTTATGGATGATCAGTACAAATCATAGAAAACACGCCGATATTGAAAAATTGCGGAAAACATTTTTTCTATGTGCGCAAAAAACACGTTTTATCGTTTGCAATATCGATATATTTTCATTTTTAATATTTTATTTCGAGACATTTTTGAAAATAAAAACAAAAATCCTTGAAATGGTTAAAGTAGAAGGTTTTTTCTTGTTACTTGCTACTTCACTTTTTTATCCATTTATTGTATACGTAGATGTAAATAGAGATACTAGAAATTAACGTAAATATAATGAAATGGCCTGATAGTCTAATCATTTTAGCAAATTTCCCCGAAATAATTGTAAAACCTGGTCTTATTGGTGCAAGCTGTTCAAGGATGTTCTTAAAACATGGACGCATAAAATGGGTACACCAGTTTTTGTGATGGCCGGAAAATAGGTGTTTTGGGGTAAACAATGGAAATTTCAAAAACTACTTGACCAATCTACTCCAATTTTGTTGTTATATAAGTATGATATCTACGAATTTGAAGAATTTCAAGTGTCTGCGTGAAACCATCGTCGCTTTACCAAGTGCCAAAACCTGATGCAGTTTGCCTCGGTTTTCGGCGATAACTTTTTTGCTATCAGTTAGATCTTTTTACGTGTGGTCTCATTTGTAAGTTTCATGAATACCTAAAAGTCTTATATGAAGAATTTTTTCGTTCCTGCCAACACTTCCGATTGAATCCCAAAAAACACGTTTTCTCGTCCTTTGTTGTCGAATAAAAAATTTTCCCACAAAAATTGGAGTACCTATTTTATGCGTCCATGTTTCAAATCTTGAACAACTTGCAGTAATAAAACCATGCTTCACAATGATTTCGCAAACCAGAAGTATTTTCGTCTAATATGGTAAGACTATGAATCAAAATTTTTCACGAATGTGATGGTACAAAGACCGACTTCCTTTTGTTGGCCTCATATATTTGAATTGAAGCAGTTATCCTAAAATATTCAAGAGACAGAACAGTATAACAACATTATGTAGAATCACCCTTAATGATGATTGGAATTTTTCCAGAATGCCAGCTACTTAGGTTATACTTTGAACCAAATCAACATACAGCACTGCATAATGTCTTATACAGTGTTTCAAAAAACGTGCAACACTTCTAGAGCGTAAAGTAGTATGTAGTACAGACATCATAAGCATAGCATATTCGGGCCTCAGAAATTGAGAAATTTTGACCACTATAGAAGAAAAATAAAATTATTTTCTACGCGACTGAATTTGCAACATTCAGTTTATTTTTGAATAAAGTATTCAATTTGACATGAAGCGCCTTTCTTGAGAAATTTTTATCAGATGACTTCTTTTGAGAAAAGTTGGTAGAATGATTTGAGGTAAAATCGGTATACAAAACTTCAACCCGCTCTATTTTGAAAATACGCTGAAGTTGATGAAGCTTGACATTCAAAATTATATGTAGCAGCGTATAAATTTACAACACCCTGCATCTTGTTTATAGGAACTTTCATGTTATTCTGGTTGTACTGTCTACCCTACAAATATTGCCTCGTTTTTCTGAAACACCCTGCATATTGGCCCTTCCCAACCCTAGGTATACTAGACACAACCCTTTCCGACGAGGCGATCTTCCAGAACTACGCGCAGGCCATGCAGACAGGCATCAGCAAAGTGATGGCCAAAATGGGCATTTCTACCCTACAATCCTACAAGGGCGCGCAGATTTTCGAGGCTGTAGGCCTGGCTGAGGACGTGATCGAAAAGGCATTTAAAGGGACACCATCGAGGATAGGAGGAGCTAACCTGGAGATGTTGGCAGCCGAAGCGTTCGAAAGACACAAGAATGCGTATAGACCTAGTCCTGATTCTTTAATTTTAAGGGACACCGGTATCTACCATTGGAGAGCTGGAGGGGAGAAGCATTTGAACGAACCGGCTAGTATTGCTGCCCTACAGGTGAGGACATTTCAAAACGTTTCGGACTCCCACATTCCGAAGTACAGTGCTTTTCATGAAGCCGCAGCCCTTTTATTATTTTTTTAATGGTTCAAGTTACCAAGGTGAAATTGATGTATGAATACTTTATTTTTGAAAGAATACCACAGGAATGATGTCGCATAAGTGGCGTGGCATACTAGTAGCATCCCTATCCCACAAGCGACTTAAAACAACACCACACACAAATATTGGCATTTTTTTAAATTCTATACTACAATATTACAAATCATAATTATTTAACAAATAAATTAACGTATGCCACCAGAAGATACCCAAATCAGTTGGACGACTACACTCTTTAGTTGTCAGCGTTGCCACCTCTTCTACTCTTGCTGGAGGTTATGGGGTTTCCCTTTCCAGCGTTTGAAATTCCGAGAACATAAAATCATAGGAATAATTGCGGGGGAGGTTGAGCGGTGATCTTTCCTTGGGAGGCTGATAGCATGCTTTAGAAAATGAAATCTGTTTTTATTACTTCTAAGTCAACGTCCAAATACAGCTTCTTCTTGGTGAATACGTTAATCAATAGCAAAACAGTATTCTGCAATTTCAATGGCCTCATGCCAGATTAGCGGTGATGTGCCTTTGGATAATGACTCTTTGAGCAGGCAACAGTTGTATTGCTGGTGGAAGCATCCTTAAGTGCAAATTGTAATGCTCTTAATGTAAATTTTCAGCACTACTCTACAGTCACTATTGGCTCTCTAGTACTCATGCAGGTTCTAATATTTTTGCCTGCAATAGTTCTGTGGACAATTTTTTTTTGTTTCTTAGTAGTATGTCAGCTAATTAGAATTGTGTCAGGCTGGCATGTTTATTCATGGGCCACTTACAATTTAACTGGAGATCTAGAGTACACTCCATAGCCATTGCCATTCTTAGACCCTCAAAAGAAAATTTTAATATCACCTTTCACAAACTAGTTATCATAGATAGCTTGTGGTAATATCACGGGGTCGATCAGAGATGAACTTTGGAGGAATGCTGCCAGTGTCAGTCTTCAGTCTTCTTCCACAAGTGACGTTTAACTATTTAACACTTGAACAAGGAGTTCATATACATGTATATGAATACTTATTATATAGAAATCATGAATATTTTATTGATAAATGCAATTACTATTTTAAGGAATCAGCTACTGGGAACAACAAAACAGCTTACCAGAAGTACATCGAGTCCACAATGCAATCTATAAGAAACTGTATGCTTCGGGGTAGACTAGACTTGAGGACTTTGGATCAACCTTTATCTTTGGATGAAATTGAACCTGCATCTGAAATCGTGAAGCGTTTTGCAACTGGAGCGATGAGTTTTGGCTCAATTAGCCTGGAGGCCCATCAGACTTTAGCTATGGCCATGAATAAAGCTGGAGGTAACTTTATTTTCTGTGGGATTGAAAAATGAATCGTTCTATAACAAACTGGTTTCCATTGCACACATTTGATATGTTCTGGGTGTTTTTTGATGGCTTGGCAGTTGCTTTGTTGTGAACGCAAAAACAACTAGAATACTGAATCGGATTGCCGTCGGGTTGATTCTTATAAGAATGGCGATTAAGTTATAATTTTCCATTGAATTTATTTTTTTCCATTTCAGGTAAAAGTAATACTGGTGAGGGTGGAGAAGACCCCGAAAGATATTTGGATCCACAAAGGAGATCTGCGATTAAGCAGGTGGCTTCTGGAAGATTTGGGGTGACTTCATCGTACTTAGCTCATTCAGATGACTTGCAAATTAAAATGGCGCAGGGTGCTAAGCCTGGAGAAGGTGGTGAATTACCAGGGTAAGTACCACTTATAAAAGTATAAAAATAAATAGAAAAATATTCCCAAGTCATGATAACTCATAAATGCAGCATTTAAAAAAGTTACAGAATTCTTAGATGGATCTACGTTTTTTGACTAAGATTTCTGTACGATTCTTTTTTGTAAATGTTAATGTATATTCTCGCATATAGCATACCTTTCTAGAGACTAGATAAGTCTGCGTTATGAATTTTTTGTATCAACGTTTGCACTAGAGAGTCGTAAATAAAATAAAAACGAACAATTTTAGGGCCAACCAATTGAAATTTTTCACCCAATCTAAAATTAATTTTCTGAATCAATTTAAAATTCCTGAATACGAGTTAAACAGAAACATGACATCCCTCCTTTTTGCTGTCTCCTCCCTTCCTTTGCTTTCTTCTTTGTTCCTTGATTTTGTATAGTGTCTGAGCGACTATCCTACAAAGATTTGAATCAAGAGCAAAGGTTCTACGGACCGCTTTGATAGGCTAATCGATAATAAAATTATCATTTTTAGTTTATTTTTATTTTTGCAGGTACATAGTAAAAAATTACAATTTTCTACGTGGTTATTTAAATATTTCAATGAATTCTGTTTCAGTTACAAAGTGTCAGCAGAAATTGCAAAAACGAGACACTCAGTTGCAGGTGTCGGTTTGATTTCTCCTCCACCGCACCACGATATCTACTCAATTGAAGACTTGGCTGAATTGATATATGATTTGAAATGCGCCAATCCGCAAGCCAGAATTTCCGTCAAATTGGTTTCTGAAGTTGGAGTAGGTAAGGCATCCTCGGATTATTTTTTAATAAAAAAATACATAATTCTTCAGGGTGTTTGTTGCATTTCTAAAACACACACCTCTGGACGGACACCACCCAGTCATTGTTGCCACTTACACTAATTTACTCTGTGTGATGTTTGGCTTTTACAGGGCGTTACAAAGTATTGCCAGGAAAGTTGGTCGAGAGATTTCTCGTTTTATTATAGGGGTTTAAAACCTTATGTTTTGCAAAAATTGTTGGATTTTATGTTCGGTAAAACATGTTCCGCCTTACTATATTTGTTTTTTTTACTGACTGAATAATTTTTATTTCGAATACAGGACAAAATCATTATATTGTGCAAGCGTTTTCATCTTATGCTACTTTTTTGTCTGAAGGTGTTGTGGCATCTGGAGTCGCAAAGGGGAAAGCTGAACACATCGTCGTATCAGGACATGATGGTGGAACCGGTGCCAGTTCCTGGACAGGCATCAAAAGCGCTGGGCTTCCTTGGGAATTGGGAATAGCTGAGACGCATCAGGTCCTTGTACTTAATAACCTAAGATCCAGGATCGTTTTACAAGCTGACGGAAATATCAGAACAGGTAAGAAAACAAGTGAAAATTATTCAGGCCAAACTAGAATTGTTGAAAAAAATGGAAATGTATTTTGCAGTATATTCATAAAATGTTTCAATATAAATAAGAACAAATGTATGACATTTGAATGATTGAATGCTTCAGTAAGTTTAAATAATGAACTGAAACATAAAACAGATCATTAAGTTTTGACGACTGATTTTCCAGCTCATTACTCAACTGGCAAAGATTTCCTGTATTATAAGAACAATTAGCTACAACGTAAAATATCACAGTCTTAAGCAGTAGTAGATTATGATACATCATTCCCTTTTGGTGTTTCTGTTCTCAAATTTGCTACAGACACAAACCATCAATTATATAACCAAAAGCAGACCTAGAGGTGCATGCAGGCCTTTATTTTTTAATCCTAACATTATGATTGTAGTATCATTCTTCATTTTAGAAACAGCAACTCTTGCTTTTAAAAATAAGTCTAAGGTTGACACATTAAATATAAATTACGATATTGGCCAGAAACAAGATTTTAAATTAATAGTTCCTATATCACCAGTAGCTAAGAATGGTTTGCTTTCCTAATGATATCAAAAGAATGAACAAATTAAAGATGTTCCGCTTAAAAATATTCAGATAAATAAACTATTTTAAACCTTTATGAGATCTACGACACATTTACATAAGATCCACATACGTAATTTTGTTATATTTTAGTTCCAAATTAGCTTTGACAATAAGAATCATAATACTCTTCAGGCAATAAAGCATCTTTATCTACAAATACAGTAATGGACAAAAGTATATAGACAAATTAATATTGTGCTGTATTCCTTTTTTAATTTGTTTTATTAATACATCAACCGCATACAATTCGTTATAGCATAATACTCACTTATACATAAATAAATTCATCAGACTCCCTTCAATAAAAAATTGATTAAATAAACTGGAAGTATGAAGGGACAAAATATAAAGACAAGCAACAACAATTATAGAAAAAAGAAGCAAGTTCATGAATTATAGAAAACAACCCATGTTCTGTTAATATTTTGTAGGCTTAACCATTATTATCAATCACCGACTGGCATCGTCTCGGTATAGATTGTAGTTTCTTGATCTAAAATTCATCAATCTGCTCTACTTTTGCTTAAAGCTGCAAAAAGTTAATCAGTGTTGAATAATTTTATCTCGTATTTGTTATCTAAGTATTCCCATAGATTTTCAATGGGTTATATCGGGAGACTGTGAAGCGCCATTGAGAAATGGTCTTTTCATCCAGAAAGAATTCTTTCCAGACTTGAATGGGTGCTTCGGGTCATATCAACTTATCCATAATGCCATCAATTATATGTAAAGGTCCCATCCCAAACCCCGAAACGTAATGAACACCATCTGATCCAAGATATTGAACTTGGATTCGTCACTGAAACATACCGTCTTCCAGTCACAGATGCTCTAATCAAGACGCAACCGTGCAAATTGTAATCGGTCCTTACGGTTTTTCCTCGAGATTAGCGGCTTCTTTCTCGGGCGACGTGCAATTAACTTCAAATCATTTAATCTTCTACTTATAGTTTTCGTAGAAACACTGACAATTCCTTTTGTCTCGATTTCGGCTTTTATTTGTCTTGGGGTTTTAAACGGATCTTTGGACGAAATTACTTTTATTAATCTAACTGATCTAGCATTTAGTTTTCTAGGCCGACCACTTCTCTTAGAGGCTTCCAAGGTACCTTTCTGTTTATATCTGTTCAGTATTGCCCAAACTGCTTTACGCTTCAGCTTCAAATTTTTAGCGATGTCGACTTGACGTTGACCATCTTTGTATAACTCATTGAACTTAGTTTTCACATCGAAAGAAATTTCTGGACCACGCGGCATGGTCTTAAAATCACTGAACTTATTCCACAATACTTGATGAACACAAACTAATCCTCTTCTGACACGAAACTGTACTAAACTAATGTTGAAAAGAATTTGTCTACATATTTTTGTCCCTTATAAAAAAGTGCTTATATTCAGACTTGTATTGTGTTCATAGCAGATCATGTAAAAACAAGGAATTTCGTTTTTCTACTAATAACGCATTTGTTTATGGTGCAATGAAGTATGAATTCGTTTTCTAAAGGTATTTAGGTAATGTTCATATTATATACTTTTGTCCATTACTGTATATCACTCGTCAAATATAGGTGAAATCTGACACTATGACATTAAACAATAACAACAAGTGATTTAATGCGGCGACCAAAAAATCATTTCAAGCTGCAATGTAGTTTACGCCAATACGACTACGGCTACTTATCTGCCCCTCGAGTTCCGTCCGATGCTGACTCTGAAAACTTTTGTGAATTCCTACTGTATTTTATCTCTTTCAAGACGGAAAATGTGTCTGTGGCTGGCCTAAGTACTGTGTCTACGAGGGTTAATGTAGAAGAATCGATGTTTTCATTCATGTGCAGTGATGTGAGTTATTTTTCTTTCAGGTTTTGACGTAGTGGTAGCTGCCCTCCTTGGAGCAGATGAAGTGGGTTTCAGTACAGCTCCTTTGATCGTAATGGGTTGCACAATGATGAGAAAATGTCACTTGAACACCTGTCCAGTCGGCATTGCCACTCAAGATCCTGTACTCAGGAAGAAATTCACAGGACAGCCTGAACATGTTATCAACTACTTGTTCATGCTGGCTGAAGAAGTTAGGGAGAATATGGCTAAACTGGGTGTAAGCATACTTTGTCATTTGCATTTCAGCATTCAAATAACATTTGCAAGTGCTTTCAGAACTCTTTTTCGTTTTGTTTCATCTGATTTAAATAAGACTAGCAAGACCAAAAACGCCCTTCTTACCGTACATCTGATAAGATAAGGATAGCATTAAGACACGTTGCGTAAAAAACTATCACCCTTTCGCGTCCAGAAGTATATGTTTATTATGAAATCATCTATTTTATATTTAAGATATATTGAACTAGTAGTAGTCCAGCAAACTAGCGAGCCTTTATGATATATCTGTAAATTAAGTGATGAGACTGGCAAGGCAGCGTTCGATCTGGCAACACTGGAGGCGCTGGGCTTGGAGCGGAGACCGTGGAACATGTGATCGGTGTTCGGTACAAGTTTGAACTCGCTCGAGTCGTTTGGTTTTCCGTAGCGATTTTTTGTGAAAGTGATTTCTATTGTGTTCTAAAAATGAGTAACATCAATTTCGGGCAACAGTGTGTTACCAGGTTTTACTTCATACTTGGGCACAGTGCAAGGGAAACTCAGCAGGCCTACGAAGATAATGTTTTATCAAGAGCGTAAGTTTTTCGGAATTTTCAGATTGAAGATGATCCACGAAGCGGAAGGCCCTCATCTTCAAGAACCGACAAAACTATCTTTCAGAATCCTGGATCTTGTACGTTCAGATCATCGACTGTCAGTCAGAATGATCGGGGAGAGTTGAATTTGACTCACACCACTGTTCGTCAGATCAATAACAACTGAGTGTTGCATCACAATAATGCTCCTTGTCAAACAACAATTTCGAAAAAACGAGTTTTTGACCAATAAAAACATTCATGTGGCCCCTCAGCCTCCTTATTCGCCCAACTTGAGTCCTTGTGACTTTTTCCTCTTTCCAGAGTAACCAGCTGAAGGCTATTCCAGTATCAGAGCTCTGTTATGAAGAGTGGAAGAACCGTCTCTAGCGCTGTATGGCCTTCAGAAGAAAGTTATTTTGAGAGTGGCAGTATAAAATTGTAATTATATTTGAATCAAAAGATTTTAAAAAACTCATCACTTAATTTATAGACCTCGCATGGCAAAAATGAAGGTACTTATTATTTTTGAACTATACATACCGAGAGAAAAATGAATTATGCCTTGTCAGCTTCAATAAGTGAACAGCTAAAACCTCCCATTATTTGTCTTAACCTCCAGATTTGGACTGTAATGCTCAATGTGTTTAATGATGCACTTTACTCATGAAGCCCTCTTTTCGACATTTATTAGATGCCTTCTTCAGGGCTACAAAATGCAAAAAATACTAAATGAAGTTATATGTTTAAAGACAGATCATAATAAACAAAGACGTTGAGAACCATAGCATACACAAACAAACTAACAAGTATACGACTATGGAAACATATATAACAATTAAAATAATTGAGAAATGAAATATCACTGATTCAACGAAGTTAGCAATTATAACTTGATCTAAAACATGCGACAAAGTAAAAACTGGTTAAATAAACAATAAATATGCATAAAAAATGGGAAGAGCAACCTGACTGAACCCAACCAGGAATCACAGACCATCAGTCGAAAAAAAAATGTAGCAGTCAAGAGCATTACAGAAACATGAAAACGCCTAGGTTCTTAGTCTGATGAATGTCTTTATTAAGAAGGCATAAGTCTCACAAGATCGTCCGTATTTATTTTTCTTTTGTTACTATGCAGTAAGATGAAAATCATTTCACTTATTAGCCGTTTTGTATAATTGGTTTCGTTATCTAATAATCTGACAGAGCCAGAATTGAAAGTATGATTATTCTCATGTCATCATCTTCAGAATTAATGTCTCACATTTTGGATCAAGGCTAAGTACTAACTTCATTAACCAGTTTTCTTCCCATTGTTTGATGGAATTCAGCAAAACAACCTTTGTTGTGCTTGATACACACTCCCACATCTCAAGTTGAATGTTTCGATAAGGCGCCTGTGACTACACGTGCTGTTTCCATAGGCCACTTGACTACGAATTTCTGGTCATCCCGGAACCGCAGACCAGTAGGCCGCAAAGAGTTAACCACACTTTGAAATATATTTTAGGTTCGTACATTCCAAGAATTGATCGGCCGAACCGATCTTCTGAAAGTAGTCGACGCAGGGTCACCAAAAGCAAAAATGCTAAACCTAAACCTGATTTTGCAAAACGCATTGCACATGAGACCGGGAGTGAATATCAAAGGAGGTTCCGAGAAACAAGATTTCCAACTGGAACAGCGATTAGAAAATGAACTTATTGCAAAAGCTAAACCTGTAATCGATGGAGAGATCAAGAAAGTAGATGTAGAATTGAAAATTAGAAATGAAGACAGAGCATTTGGGTCTACTTTAAGCTATTACATTTCATGGTATGTATAAATAAAAGTCGTGTCATTTGTTCTTAGTGTGAATTCTCTATCCTAAAGATAACATCTGAAGCTAAGATAGTGCATCAGTTAGTTTTTCGTATTCCTAATAATTCCATTGTACGAGATACTATGACATCAGTGTCCCCATCTGAAAAAGGCATTACAATTTTATAGTAGAAACGGTACTATACAAGTTTTGCAATTGAGCTTTATTTATTGACTTCGTTCAAAGTAATTTCCACCACACTCAATACATTTCTCCATCCGCCAAAACCAGTCCTCAAATCAGCTCTGTCAAGTGTCACCCAGAAGTGTGGCAGACTCGTGGTTCCAAGCCCTCAGAGAGTCCTATCGCTAGAAAACCGTTTTCCTTTTAGCAAGAGTCCATTCTTCACTTTGGCCGCAGGTCTTTCATAGACTTGTTTTGAGCCTTGGTCGGCACATCGTAATAATAGAGCCTCGTCACCTGTCACGATTCTGTTCACATATCGAGATTGCCCCATATCAAACATTTTCAGCATCTTTCGGCACCAACTCGTTCGACGAGTCTTCTACTCTTCCGTCAGACTATGCGGTACCCAGATTTTCCTCGCAGCAGTAATGTTTTCGTCTGTTACTGACGGTCGCGGCCTTCGTTCCCTCTCAACGTCCTCCAGAGTGAAATTGCCTCTTTGGAATTCTCTTTACCACCTGAATATACTTGTACAATGAGGAAAATCATTCTTTAATGCAAGCATCATTTCTTCTAAGCACTGGTCTATGCTTAAACCTCGCGTAAAGTTATACCGTAAAACTGCCCTTATCTCACTACGTGACCACGATGCCATAGTCCGCACTTAACAACGTCAATACGAATGAACAACTAAATCATCAGACGTCCTGCTGACGGCTACTATGCACTCAAACACATGTCTCAACATGCAGCCTCCTGCGTCCGTTTGTTAAGTTATATTGCAAAACTTTTATAATACCCTTTTACTTTAAACAGACACATCTATAATGCTTATATTTATTTCAGCAAATATAATGAAGATGGTCTTCCAGAAGATAGTGAAATCAATGTCCGGCTGACAGGATCTGCCGGACAGAGCTTCTGCGCATTTTTGGCAAAAGGAGTACACGTTACATTGGAGGGAGATGCCAACGACTATGTAGGTAAGTCGAAACTCGTCAGGTTTTTGAAAAATATTATTATCTTATCTTTGCTAGTCTCTTTTTTTCTTTATTCTCATATCTTCTCAACATTGTCTGGTAACTACACCTGATAGACTTACAGACTAATAATACTATAACACGAGAACTATGACTAGGTGGTTTCACAGACTTGTGTAACCAGTAAGTTGATCTTTTCAGTTAGGTATTTTTTTCTTTTAGGCAAAGGTCTCTCTGGAGGTACAATTGTGATCTATCCCCCAAAATCGTCACCATTCGAATCCCACTTGAATGTGATAGTGGGCAATGTCTGTTTGTATGGGGCTACGTCTGGCAAGGCGTATATGAGAGGTATCGCTTCTGAAAGGTTCGCTGTCAGAAATTCGGGAGCTACTGCTGTGGTAGAAGGTGTTGGAGATCATGGCTGTGAATATATGACTGGAGGGGTTGTACTTATACTTGGTAAGCGAATGTTACTACCCGCAGTAACTTAGCATTCAATTCAAATTGAGAAGCATAGAAAAAAGGAGGAATACTTTTAGAAAATATGTATGTGTTCTGAATTAATTTTTGAACATGGGTTAAATTAAGAGGATTGGCTACGTGAAATCAAGAAAGTGATTCAACTATTCATGTACGTTACCTAGAAACTAGTATCATCATAATTTTCTCATGTATTGCCGAAAAGCAGTATGAGACGTGATAAGTATTACTTTAGACCTTTTGATATTTTAGGATTAACTGGTCGAAACTTTGCCGCCGGAATGTCTGGAGGCATCGCATACGTATGGGACATAGATGGAAAATTCTCGATGAAATGTAATCCAGAAATGGTAGAATTGTGTAAATTAGAAGACAAAGAAGATGTTTCATTAGTATTGACATTACTTAAAGAATTCCGTGAGCTAACAGGAAGTGTTGTTGCTGAACAATTACTGAGTGAATTCGACCAAAGGAGAAAGGAGTTCGTCAAGGTATATTAGAGCACAAAATACTCAAAAGCGAAACATGGAAATGTCGTCGATTCAAATTTATGTTCATCGAAAAATATTTGTCAAGAATCTATGTGTATATTCTCTTTAACCATTGATTCTCAATTACTATAAAAAAATGTTAGGTCTTGATTATTGTACGTTTCAACTACATAATTAACTAACGACGATATTGAAAATTCTTGATATGTAATTCGCAGGTCTTCCCATATGAGTACCAACGTGTCCTTAGGCAAAAAGCAGCTGAAAAGGAATCTGCTACTCAACCTCAGGCGCAAGAAACTGCAAAAATTCAAGATATTGAGGATGCTGTCGGTGATCCTGCTGTAGAACAGAGAAAAGCTGAAAGGGTGTTGGATAAAGTACGAGGTAAGTTCTATCATTTTGCTAATAAAATAAATTGAACACTTCACAGCAATGTGATGCTTTCCATTAATTTTACTCCTTTCTTTAATCTTCCATATTGCAGTTTTTATTTACTGCTTATCCTAATTTCATACGTTTTTTTGTTCCGAAATATGATCTTGTGTTCCTAAGGTGCCCATTTTTATTAAATATATCCTTAATTAGAATTTTGATGAGATCTTTGGGAGATATGTTTTTAGGAACTTTTATCTGCATTATATTTTATACCACTTATCTGGTTTGTTAATGAGACTGTCGAACTCTATGAAACTGTCACTGAATATTATACAGAGTGTTACATAACATTGTTATGAAAATTGAGGTTCATATTGAACACGTTGAAATAAGAAAAAAGTAATACAAACATAGGACCGGATTTCTCCATTTCCGTGATACTTGTACATTTTTGATAGTTTGCGAAAATTATTGACGTTTTCTCGAAGCATATTGACTCGGCTTGAAAGTGTTTTTTTTTTAGTTTTTCGTTATATCCTAAATATAGGGCACTTTCCTTTATCCAGCAGAGAAAGCTGATAGAATCCACCAATGCTGAGATCTGCTGGCGAAGATGCCATCGAATGCACTGCCATTAGTTGAGAAATAAAAGAACGAATTGCTCAGTCTGCCGCCAGTTACGAATCCAAACCTAACTAAATTGAGATTTCGCATTTTCAACTTTTTAATATTTGATTAGCACATCTATAGTATCAGGCATTAAAGGAAAGGACTTTGAAGATTCCTTGAGTCACGTAAGAAGAAAGTTTTTGGTTCTATGAGAGTTTATATACAAAAATGCGATTACTTAAGTTAGTCTATTTGTCTGTTATTTATTCCGCAGTCAGTATAGCGGTTGTTCATGTATCCTAATGAACAAGTGTACATGTTATTGCCTATCTGTCCATAATTTTGTTTGTATACAGCCAACGAAGTCGTCAAGTATTTTGGCAAAGCATTTATATTGGCGCCAATTTACATCTGACAATGTCCTGTCAATCGCTCCGCCAGCACACATTAATGTCACTGCGACCAAAATGGATCTATTGTGATGAACTTAATACTTTATGGCTGCCTGGCAGCTCTTTTGCACATACTTGTATGGCCGTGACTTCAGCCTGAAATATTGTTGCACTATTACTTAGACTTAATAGAGAGCTCAGTTTTTGACCTTGTGTACCAGCAGCTTTTGGCATGTATGTCCTTTCTCCCACGCCTTCCTATCTGGTACATAGATAGTCTTTATCGAAAGTGTACACTGGGATAGTTATGCCCGTGGGCATTAGGAATAAAGGATCTGCTTTCAACTCCATGTACAGTTTTGAAGCGCCCATATTTACCATCAAATCTGTCAAAATTATGCATAACTTACAGATCTGTTAAACACACAATGCGTTCGTTTGACAGTTTGACTTCCAACCACACTAGCGTCGCCTGGCTGGAGCAGAATTGGACGTCAGTGCAATTGAGTTCGGAAGATCCATCCAAAGACAACTAAACTGAATTCAAATTCAAGATGAGATGTAAATAATAACAGTTAGCGCGTGATCTCTCGGTAACAGGTGGGAACAACGCCTCTTATTGGTCAATTCGCCATTAAATTTCAAGCGGTCGCCTGGCGGAATAATGCGCGGGGCAGGGGCAGGGCAGCCAGAGTTGTACTCAGGCCACCGTCCGTCGCGTGTATCACTGCGTTCTCGTGTTTTCGTATTCACCTTGCTTGGTTGTTGCTGTTGTTTTTGTTAAGTGTATTTTAGTAATTTGTTAAGTTTCTGTTTCTGTTAAATACTGTCATCTTTTTTTACAACACGTTGGTGGTAGTCCATCATTCGGAGGTAGCCCTGAATGCGGCCCTGTACGCCGTCCTTGCTTTTGGCAATCACGAATCCATTCTATCTTGGGTGTGAATACACTATAGTTTCGATTTTTATTATATCTTTGCATCTCTAATATTTTCTATTTTCCAGGTTTTATGAAATATCCTCGCGAAGCCGCCCCCTACCGTCCTGCAGAGAAGCGCATGAAGGACTGGGACGAGGTCTACAACTTCACGCACGTGCGCAAAGGGCTGCGCGTACAGTCAGCGCGATGCATGGACTGCGGTGTGCCCTTCTGCCAGTCGAACTCCCACGGTTGTCCGTTGGGCAACATCATCCCTAAATGGAACTTCCTGGTGTTCCAGAACCAGTGGAGGCAGGCGCTGAACCACTTGTTGCAGACTAACAATTTCCCCGAGTTTACGGGACGAGTGTGCCCCGCGCCGTGCGAAGCAGCTTGTGTGTTGGGTATCTCGGAGCCGAGTGTTACTATCAAGAATATCGAGTGTGCCATCATCGACCATGCCTTCGAAAATGGTGAGTACCTATTAACGTATTCTACCTGAATATACCAAATCATATAGTCCGGCATCCAGAAACGAATATAATGGGTGATTTTTTTGCTAGTATATTTTTGGCAACACTGTTTTTGACAGATGACGCGTGAATCGTGTCTTGTGTCATTGTCAAACTTGTTCAGTTTGGTCAATAATTTAACCATGAATCGACTTACGAACGAACAACGCTTGCAAATTATTGAATTTTACTATCAAAATTCATGCTCGGTTAAGAGAGTGCATCGAGCACTGCTTCCAATTTATGGACAATTTGGTCGGCCTACTGAGGGAGCTATTTGGAAGCTTGTGACTAAATTTCGAACCCAGTTTACATTATTGGACATTAAACCACCAACACGCAGACGTAGAGCGAGGACTGAAGAAAATATTGCGGCTGTATCCGCCAGTGTTAGTGATGACCGTGAAAGGTCGATTCGCCGGATTTGGGTGTAAAACCTTATAAGATACAGCTGGTGCAAGAATTGAAGCCACACAACCTCCCACAACGTTTCCCATTTGGTGAATGGGCGCTGGCAAAGTTGGAAGAAGATCCACATTTTTATCGAAACATTGTGGTCGTGGAGGAACTTTTGGTTGAAAGTTGTACAGTTCTCAGTGCCATCTTAGCGAAAGAGTTGAGGGAGTCACATGAAGTGTTGAAAAATCGGAAGAAAAAGCGTTGTTCGGCGACCAGCACCATATACCTCGCTCCCGATGGGCGTGTCCACGCCTGATAAAATCAAACGGATGTGCCTGGTCTCTCGCGATGACATCAGAGGCAAACTTATGACACTTCGTTCAGACAAAGGCAATTCTACGAATGCAGTGATCCCGGTAGCGTGCTACGTGGGAACGTAGCTTAAACGTTGAAAAAAATCCGTGAAGAAAAATTTCGCACTCACTTTTTCTTTCAGGTTGGATTGTACCCCAAGTTCCAACTTCAAGAACAGACAAGAAGGTTGCCATTGTAGGTTCGGGACCTGCAGGATTGGCGTGTGCCCATCAGCTGAATAAAGCTGGCCATACAGTGACGGTATTTGAAAGGAATGATAGAGTTGGTGGCCTTTTGCAGTATGGGATTCCCACCATGAAGCTGAGCAAGGTAAGTTCGTATTGAAAATAACAATTTATAATTTTTACTACGTTTATAATAGCTTTTCGGAAGTCTAACATCAATTATTATGGATTATTTTCATTTGTAAGATCTTAATGACCAACTTCTTATGAATGTTGTTTTCGAAAATAGCCATATGTTTCCTAAATGTCCATCACTTTAAATTAAATTCTTACATTATATTCTACATTATATTTTACCTATTACAGACTGTGGTACAAAGGAGAGTAGACTTACTTACTGCTGAAGGTATCACCTTCAAAACAAACGTTAATGTTGGAAAGGATATTTCAGCTAAAGAGTTGTCAGAAGAATATGACGCTGTTATATTATGCACTGGTGCGACTTGGCCTAGGGATCTGCCTTTACCAGGTAATTTCAGAATGTCATTAGAAACCTTAACATGAACAAAATTGTGTTTCAAAGTACTCATGTCAGTCACAGGATGTTTATCGAAAAAATAGTCTCTGGTTGTTCTTGAAATTTAATTCAGCAATACAACAATATTTTATCGTTACTGGAAAATAGTAATAAAACTGGAACTTTTCTAAGGAACCTAACGAAATACTTGACGAGACACTTTTCAAACAGAATCAGTATCGTTTTGAAACGACATTTATTTCAGTCAGTGGCGCACGTGGGAAAATAAAACTGAATATAGTTTTGATTTGATATTCAAGTGAAATAAAATAAATTAATACAATTTAAAAGTAAAGAAATTCATAAATCAAATGAAAGGACGAATTATCAATTACTTATTTTAATAACATTTCTGCATCTTTATGTCAAGGCAAGCTTTTTTTCGGTACCTCTAACTGTTATTGACACTTTTTGACGTGATGAAGTATTGTATTATATTCTTAAAAAAAAATAATAAAATTCAGGTGATTTACTCATTTCGATTTTATTAGTGAATTTTGCAGTTGTGAATTTTTTGATAACGATCATGGGGAGTAAGGAATCATCCTTCACGATGAAAAACTATCGGGGACTAGTAGAGGGAAGCACTTTATACCATTGTCTATCTTCATAATCGCGCAGATATTCCTGTTTTTCTCATTACTAAAAATCGAAAGTACTAATATGAACTTTCAATATGCTATTTAACACGGTATAGCAAATCATATTACATAATAGAAATGAGAAATAAAACGTATGTTTAATTAATAATGAATGTAGACACTTTACATGGATACAATTCTATGAATAGGTTTTCCAGAATATTTCTTTATCAAAATACTCTATAAATATTTTTGATTATGTTAGTTTGCATCTCAAAAATCTTTGACAATTTGGAATAATTCCGGTCATTTCAAACTGAGTGGCGTACAGTTTAACGGGGAAATACTGGTCCTACGTTTACATTAACTATATTTCAATATGTAACGGACAGGTTTGTATCTTGAATATTTGTGAAATGAAATAAAATACGTCCATTTTTTTTTATCTTAATCTGTTATTGAAACTTGGAAATTATGTATGAAAAATAATATCAGACAAATGTCCGCCTCTAGAAGCCGCGCAAACCTGAGCCCTCTTGATTACATTTTCCATCACTTTTGGTAGGTCTCGGGAGGAATATTTTCAATCGCTTCCGTAATATTGTTCTTCAGCTGCACTGCAGTATTTTTTAAAGATCCCCTTATGAAAAAGTCAGGAGCCGTTAAATCCGATGACCTTGGTGGTCAGTTGACATCAGAAATAGTGCATGATGACGTGCGACGAATACCCAGTTCTTGAGAATGATATCTGGTATACGTCTGAGGGCCGGTTTTATAATCTCTAGTTGACCGGCGGTTGAATTTGAACCGGCGGTCAAACTGAAATTTCTGTATTATAAACCAGAACCGACGATTCAACCGCCGGTCCACTACACTTTCACTAACTTTCTCGAATACTTAACAGGACGTCAACTGAACGGCATCCACTTTGCCATGGAGTTCCTGGAGAGTTGGCAGAAGAAACAATTAGGCGCCAACTTTGATGGTCCTCACGCTAAAGACAAACACGTCATCATCATAGGAGGCGGTGACACAGGATGTGATTGTATCGCCACCTCGCTGCGACAGGGAGCTGCTAGTATCACGACGTTCGAGATCCTGCCTAAACCTGGTCCGAAAAGGTCCAAGGACAACCCTTGGCCGCAGTGGCCTAGGGTGTTCAAGGTGGACTACGGACATGAAGAGGCAAGTCTCATTTCATTTCATTTATTTATACAAAAAATTGTTCACAATTGTTTCAAGACAGACTGGAAACAAATTTCAACATATTACATGAAAGCTACTTACAGGGTACATTACACTTGGAAGTTTTCAACCATCACAACGTGTTATAATCGGTATTTAGAAAATAATCAATAATCTTAAAATCATTCAAATGCACTCATCTTATATTTAGTGGCAATTTATGGGAAAATTTAATTGAATAGCACCTACAATGGTTGTATCAATCAAATCATCGCAAAACGGTTCTTAATTACATTGTATTACAACCACTATAACTTGGATTTGGTTGGCGTGTAGATGCCAAAGAAAGTCAATGAAGAGAATTCAGAAACGTGTAGTAAAATATTTTCCTCAAAAACTCTTAGCGACAGGTTATTAGTTCATTTATTTTATTTAAACTTCAGGTCCAAGTGCGTTACGGTTCTGATCCGAGGGTATTCAGCATCATGACGCAAGAATTCACTGATGACGGTAAAGGTCACGTGAGTGGTGTCAAGACTGTCAACGTCGAGTGGGTGAAAGATGACAGTGGAAGGTGGCAGATGAACCAGGTAAATTACTAACTACCGCACATTATGAAACCATACTTATACCTAGTTACATATTTCTTATTTTAAATATTTTGCTTCTGAAGGTTCCTGGAACAGAAAAGGTTTACAAAGCCGACTTGGTACTGTTGGCCATGGGTTTTTTGGGTCCTGAGAGAGCTATCGGTGACCAACTGCAGTTGACTTTAGACCCAAGGTCTAACTTTGAAACGAAAGAGTACAAGACTAATGTGTCCAACGTTTTTGCTGCTGGTGGTGAGTACTTGGATTGTTTTGTTCTGTTTTATTTCCATAATTCTATGCTAATTCGTACTTAATACTAAGATTTCGTATTCACAGAATTTCTCAGCGATAAAAAAGAAAATCCCATAAAAATGGTCGTCGGTAGGTATACAAGGTATCCTGAAAGTTGAGACTTTCTCACAATTCATTTGCTCAGAAATTTCGGGTACTGTCCTGTAACATTTTTTGCTCGAAAATACTCTGAAGTTGTCGTCGTTTGTGAAATTGATCCAACATTTGCGACTGTCTAGGTATTCTACTGTGTCCACCTTGACAGCACGATGTAATCAAACCTACCCAGTTCGGAATGGAAACATCCAGGAAAACGATCTGAATACACTCGTGAAGTATCAGTAGAATCTTGCAAGACATTGAGAACTAACAACCTACAGTAATGGACAAAAGTATATAGACAAATTAATATTGTGCTGTATTTCTTTTTTAACTTATTTTATTAATACACCAGCCTGTATACATAATTCGTTATAGCATAATACTCTCTTATACATAAATAAATTCATTAGACTTCCTTCAATAAAAAATTAATTGAAAAAACTGGAACTATGAAGGACAAAAATATATAGACAAAGCAAAACAATCATAGAAAAAAGAAGCAAAGTTCATTGAATTATAGAAAACCAACCATGTTTGTGTTAATATTTTGTAGCATAACTTTTATTAATCTAACTGATCTAGCATTTAGTTTTCTAGGCCGACCACTTCTCTTAGAGGCTTCCAAGATACCTTTTTGTTTATATTTGTTCAATTTTACTGCTTTACCTTTCAGCTTAAAATTTTTGGCAATGTCGACTTGACGTTGACCATCTTTGTAGAACTCAATGATCTTAGTTTTCACATCGAAAGAAATTTCTGGGCCACGCGGCATGGTCTTAGAATCACTCAACTTATTCCACAATACTTGATGAACACAAACTAATCCTCTTCTGACACGAAACTGTACTAAACTAATGTTGAAAAGAATTTGTCTACATATTTTTGTCCCTCATAAAAAAGTGCTTATGTTCAGACTTGCATTGTGTTCATTGCAGATAATGTAAAAACAAGGATTTTAGTTTTTCTACTAATAGCGCATTTGTTTATGGAGCAATGAAGTATGGATTCGTTTTCTAAAGGTATTTAGGTAAATATTCATATTTGTCTATATACTTTTGTCCATTACTGTATATCAATAACTTTGTTATTGCTATAGGAATGTGCCAATTTGGGTTTTCCAAAGCCAAATGAGCAAATAGATTAACTTACACACCGCGTGGTGCATGATTTAGACACTTACGCACGTTGTACCTTCCTACCTTTTCACGTTGGTTGCAGGGCCGAGCTGGTCCATTCAGACTTTTTTTCGAAATATATGTTATTCTAAGGGTTTTGGTGTACTAGGAAAATTTTCTTATTGTTGGATGTCCTATACGCAGTGTAAAGCCCCCACTTTAAGGACACCCTGCATAGCTGTTAGCATGAGTCGGGGCTATCATGGTGCATATTACGTTTAGCAACTGTGCTATTCGAATCTGGTTCTAGAATATGTTCCCTAGGCTTTTTATAGCTTTTGTGATACAGCACTTTGCACTCACAGAGGACATGAAAGGCTAACTGTTCCTTTTCCCAAATGTGTGCAATTGGAGTATCTTATTTTGTGCAGGAGTTCTTTGAGGCTAGTGTCATTGAAAGCAGTTTTGGTATCGCTTTTGGTCATGTCTCATGATAAATTCCCTTAAATGCTTAGGATATGATCTTATGCTATGGTAGACGTGATTGATTATCTTATGAGCTGTGACCGTTAACGTGAAACGCGCAAGGTGGCTGTATATCCAATTTGAATATTCAAAATCCACACATTGGATATGACTCCGGTTTACAGGTCACTCAAATGAGGAAGTTTTCTATTTTTTTAAACACACTTAAAATGATAGTCTAAGTAAAATTAAGTGGAACACTGAACCATTTTTTGAGAGCGAAGGATGAATGCGATATGGAAGAGCTATCGCGCCGTCCGGCCACAGCAACGCTGTGGCCCAGAAACCGAACATATGTCATGTGACGTCACCACCCAACCTCGATAATTATGTTATCGGAATAATTCAGATTTGTGAAAGATGCCAGTTATACTGTTATACAGGGGTTGTCCGGAAAGTAATAGGACTGAGTCGATTTAAAAAAAATTATTGAGCCAATCGTTACAATTCTTTAAAAACTTTCAAAATAGGCTCCTTCTGCGTCGATGCAGAGCTACCAGCGCAATTTCCAAGCATTGAAGGCGTCATGGAAGGTATTCTCCGGAATAGCCTTGAGAGCCGCGGTGCATGCTACTTGGATCCCATCTGTCGTCTCAAAATGCTTGCCTTTCATCCGCCTTTTCAGGCGAGAAAACAAAAAACAGTCGGGGGGGGGGGCACATCTGGGCTGTAGGGCGGCTGTGGAAGCGTTGGGATGCCGGCCTTGGTCAGGTAGCTGTTCACAAGAAAGGCGGTGTGAGCCGGGGCGTTGTCGTGGTGCAACTTTCAGACGGCTGCGATGTCTTGTCGGACCCGACTGACCCTTCGTTTGAGTCTCCTGAGCACTTCCACGTAAAACTTGGCATTGACGGTTTGTCCAGGGGGAACAAATTCATGGTGGACGATGCCTTTGATGTCAAAAAAGACAATGAGCATCGTTTTCACTTTGGATTTGCTCATTCTTCCCCTTTTTGGGCGAGGAGACGCCGTCGTGTGCCACTCGGAAGATTGCCTCTTTGTCTCGGGGTCATACTCAAAGATCCACGACTCGTCACCTGTGATTACGTTATTGAAAAATTGGGGGTCACTTTCACACATGTTCAAATTTTCTTTTCACACTTCCACTCGCCGCAATTTCTGGTCGTCAGTGAGCACTTTTGGGACCATCTTCGCGCATGTTCACATGATGTGTCACAATGTCATGAACCACAGATTTTGGTAAATTTAACACCTGGGCAATTAAACGAATACTTAGTCGACGGTCTAAGTTCAAAACTTTGCGCACACGAGTCACATTATCGGTGTTTGTCGAAGTCGAATGTCTTACAGCACGGTCTTCATGAGCGACCTCTTCCCGGTCCTTCAAAAAGGTCTGGTGCCACTTCTTGCTAAAGCAACACCTGGGTAAGCCTGCTTGATCATATCAAACGTCTCTGTCGCAGATTCACCGAGTTTCACACAGAATTTAATCGCCGTACCTCTGCTCTAACGAACGCTGTATTTTCGGCTTGCACCACTCACAGAAACACGTCGCGCGAAAATGCCTGCCCTCACTCTCGCAAGTGCTCGGAGACAACTGACCAGCCGCTCATTCGTTAGCTAGGAACGCGCTCTACCGAATCCAGTCGGTGCGCGCACGCTCCGAAGTGGCGCAAGAAATTCCGGCAAACCCTGTATGCAAGTGAAACAACTCGTAGCTGTATTTTCGACTTTAGGAAACTTCCCAATTAGATCGTTGGTTTTCGTCATTGTAGCACAAAACTCCATTTAATAACGCAACGTAACTACGTTCATGAGATAAAATATATTTTGAAGAGTGGTCTCAATTTTCAGACTGTCGGCGAGGGCAATCATTGGTCGTTTGGGCAATATCTGAAGGTCGGCAAGCAGCTCGTGTAGTGGACGAGTACCTGAGGAGAGAAGTATCAGCTTTACCAGTACCTGGTGGTATTATAAAACCATCTCTATTACAGGCAATACCATGTTCTGTCTAAAAAGATATATTCTTTTTGTGATTTGAGATTTTGTTGCAGACCTTTTCTGTTGATGGATATTGTGAAAAGTTTTGTGATATTTATATTTTATAAAACAGTAACAATTTATATTTATTTGATGTCTAAAACTATCAGATGAAAAGATATGCTATATGAATTGAAAATATATGTTCGTTGTTGCAAAAGTTGTTGAGTTGTTAGATATTTATTTTCAAAGAAAAGCTGTTGGAAAGGTTGGATTTCCATTTGAGAATTTCGAAGAATAGATGACAGACAATAAGGATTTCAATTGTGATGCAAGTAGTTTTGTTTTAGATATCTACATGAATCGTAGGTAGAAGAAATTTTCTTTATAGATAGCTTTAGATTTCATGGGCCCGTACGTGTACAAATTTTTTCAATTAGTTCAATAAAAAGAAATAGCAAGCCGTATGTGTTACTGCGATGAACATTTCTCTAGGACGTATTATTTCTGATGCAGTCATATTTTTCGAAAATTAAAATTTTATTGAGCCCATGTCAACCACACAGTATTTCAGTCTGTTTTACATGTTTACCTACATTTTGCTGTTCTTATCAAGCTTCTTATAAATGCATTTCAAACCAAATAGATATTTTTCACAATACTTATTACATGTGGCCACAGCTTGTAATATTATATTCAACTTTTTGTATTGAAAAACTCATTCAGTTATAAAAACTATTTTTGTAGCCATCCAATTGATAAAAATTTTATAAGTTTAAATGTTCTGTGGTCATCCTTCTGAAAGATATCGTTCCCGCTTTGAGTGTTTCCAAACTGTTGTTTATAAATATGCGAAATTGTATCCAATGTAGTCAGTATGTTCAAAATAAATATAGTCAGCATATGTTTCTAGTTTTATTTAAAAAATAAATAAAGTTATGTACATATCAACATAAATAAAATGTAGCTTGAATCCCTGTAAATAACAAAGAGGACTAGTACAAAATAAATTCTTTTTTATAACTGAAAGGTTACATTATGTATCCTGAATTCATTGGTAAAACAAAATTTCCTTATCTATGATTGAAAAAACAATGTTTCATTGTATTCTACCTGGCCAGAAAACTGAAACCATATTTTTAGAAGAAAAGGAAACTTGAAATGTTCCTCTCTGTTTTTCAAAGTGGACATTGCAAAAGAAAAAGCTCGTAATTAGGCTACCAAGAGTATTAATCTAATTAGATTAATACTCTTGGTAGCCTACGACGCGAAAGATACATCAAATAAGTTGTAATATCGCTATTTGTGTATGTCATAAAAGGCAACTGCAATGTTAATGAGTTCCTTTCAATTGACTCTGCTTCAAATATTCGCCAGATAAAATGCAATGAATCACTAAACAAATTTCATACATTGTAAAATGAACGTCTCAAAAAGTAATTGAGATATTTGTTACTGCCGAGTTTGAAATAATTTTTTCAGCAATTTGCTTCTTCATCCTACGAGGATAATTCAAAAGTAAGGTCCCCTATTCTGTTAAAAATACAGAAACTACTTATTTCCTATAATTTCGACGACAAAGTTCCGTGCTTTCTACTCCGAAATGGCGATTATGTAGAAAAATAGACTGATGTTTAAGCTCTATAATGATATATCAATTATTGGAAATACATGATTACTGTTCTTAAAAAATGGCGTCAAGTAGGTTGACTCTGCACTTCCCGAGCAACACTGTCATAAGTTCCTAAAAAGATTATGTTCGGCATAAGTTTAGAATGAAATTAACCAAGAACATGTATTCAATGAACTAAGTCGGTAAAATAGGACCATACCAATGATCTCCAGCTCCAAGCTTTGGTATTCTCCCCCGCTCCGAAAATCTGACTGCCTGCATGTTAAAGATTTCGCCCCCCCCCTGATCAGATTTGCTACTCCCGCTCCCCAAAAAATATTTGGAACCTATACATATCATAATATATAAAATGTTTCCTCTTGCCATGTCTAATCAGCCCCCTGACAAAAATTTATGCGGGCGCATATGATCAGCCTCCACAGACCAAATCTTTTTTTCGTTTGTTTTGTCTCTTGAAGAACAAATAAATATATGGAGATATACATGCGTGAAATACTGGTATGTCTAAAACGTACGTAGATTATCGGTGTTGGAAGCGTCCCGCCAAGAAATTGAGATACTTTACTTTTGAAATCACCCTTGTACTTCAAGATCTTGAAAAAACATTTATTGGCGATGTTCACCTCATCATCTGCAGGTTTTATTTTAAAGATTATCTAAAATCCTGAGTATGATACCAGGCCAACGGAATCATTGCGCGTCATCAGATGACATTTTAGCTAATCACATACACATATTTACTCCTTTCTATATCATTTCTCCAAAAGTGGCGATTTCTTTGGCTCAACAATCGGTATACTCCTCGAATGATTCTGGGTATGCCACAGCTTATAGTACAGTCCATTCGGATTCTGAAGGAGAGAATTGTGCGATCCTCTATCCACGATTGCACCGTGTTCCAGAACGTAGATTTCATCTGCGTCCATGATGGTACTCAGACGGTGGGCTATGCAAATGCTGGTACGACCTTGCGTTGCGTTTTTTAAAGCTTTCAGAATATTCTGAAAGAAAACAAATCACTTCAAATACAGTGTCAGTGAAGCCTTGGCTAACTAAATATAGTATATCCAACATTGCATTTTACAGAGTGGTGGTAAATCTTTTTCTGAAAATATCTCAAACATTTGAACTTCTTACATTTCTTGATAACTTACTACATTGAGCAGATACTTGGGAGTCGATCCTTTTTATGTAGATATATACTAAATGACATAAAAAATGCAACACCGACTAGGAGTATTGTAATTTTAAGCATACTTTTACAAGTTTTAGGTCCACTGATAACTAGAAAGTGATTAAAACAGCAAAGTTTAAATTAACACGTGCGGCGTGAGGTCGTGTTTTGCCTGCTGAAAAAGTGGATCTTGCAATGTTTCCAAAAAGGGAAGCAGATGTGGTTGTAAAACTTCGTGGATATAGCCCTGGTCAGTCATGCTACTTCGAATGATCACTAATCGTGACCTGCTGCCATAAGCAATGGCACCCCATACCATAACACCCACAGTGCGATGAATATGCCGTTTGATAGAATATTTCACCACATCATCTCCTCCCTAATTTTAAACTGCCATCACGTGTGCCCAAACAGAATCTGGACTCATCGCTGAACGCGACTGAGTACCATTCCATATTCAATTCAAGTCTCTGCCTACTCCATAGCAATTGTTGCCGACGATGATGTGGGATCAGAGGTAGTACAAGATGGGGACAGAATGAAAACAGTTTAGAAGACCTTGTTCGGCGATACACTGTCCTCATTGTTATTGCCCGTCCGACAGCATCAAACCGCTGCTGGTTCGCAAATTCCGTTGTGGAGGACAATCGATCTTTAAGATTCGATAGAACTTTTAAAATTAATGCATAAAGTCTATATAAACATGGGTCGAAAAATGCGTAGCTTCCGAAATACAGGGTGTTTAAATTTACTTTCTAAAATAGTTTTTTTTAAATATTTCGAACAATATTTGATGTATAACAGTGAAAATTGGTATACAAGGGTTTTTTGGTACGACAAAACGAACCATGGGCATAGTTTTACTGTAGCCGTTAGAGGGCGCTTTCTACAGTACCTGTAGTGTATTAAAATGACCGAAAATTTTTTCTTAGTGCAATTTTTTGCTTTTTGAATAAAAAAACTGATTCTTCGCACTTTTCAACATAAAAAAGCTCTCTTGTGAATGTTCGTTATAGTTAGCGGTTTTTGAGATATTTCGATTTTTAGGGTTCGATGCATTTTTAATTATTTATGATAAAATAACGTTAAAAAGTCAGTATCTCGATAATTTTTAGAAGTAGGCTGTGCCTGCCAATATTTTTGAAATTGAAAGCAGAATAAGGTTAAACGTCAATTAGTTGAAAGTTAGTTTTGTTGTCTGTTGAAACCTGAAACGTTTTTTTGCAATTGTGAATGCACGAAATTTAGTTTCTTTTACCTGTTTTTTTTTTGTAAGTTTTATAAAAATGCCATTTTTATTCTCCAACTCGCTCAGTATTTGTAAGAGTGCATCGCCAAATAATTGAAAATGGTTTTGGAAATCTCCAAAGGAATCAAAACATAAATGTTCGTCAGCGCAGATTTACCCGTATGATTCTGCGTGAGTTTGATAGAGATCCGACCACAAGTGTTATGAGAGTTTCTGGTGCCTTGGGAATTTCAGCAAGCCATGTTCACCGTGTTCTTAGAAATGACCATAGACGTCCTTACCATTTGCAACCTGTGCAAGGACTACAGCCAGGGGACGGAGAACGAAGAATCACATTTTGTTAGTGGATTCTTGATAGAACTGATAATAATAGGGAGTTTTTAAGTAACGTTTTATGGACCGATGAGTCATGCTTCACTAGACGTGGAGTGGTAAATTTTCATAATCAACATATTTGGTCGCATGAAAATTCGGATGCAGTTCGGGAAAGAAATTTTCAGCATGAATTTAGTATGAACGTGTGGATTGGTATCTACCGTAAGCGACTATTTGGACACTACCTTTTGCCTGCAAGGTTAAATGCTGCGACCTTCTTGGAATTTTTAAAGGCTGAACATGCAAATATGTGGGATGATGTTATGTTAGATTTAAGAAGATTGGGCTGGTTCCAGCTTGATGGTTGTCCAGCTCATTATTCGAGAATAGTTAGAAACTGGCTGGACGAAAATTATCCAGAAAGATGGATCGGCCGTGGCGGACCAGTCGCCTGGCCTCCACGATCCCCTGACCTAAATCCATTAGATTTCTTTGTGTGGGGATTTCTAAATGAAAAAGTGTACCAGACTCCCGTAACCACAAGAGATATGCTAATAGAACAGAATCAGGAATGCATGTGATGAAATAAGGCTTTATTTGAATAATGCTATACCAGGCAGCAGCGGTGGCCGCAGTAGTAGACTCTTCGGTCTCCTGATCGGTCGCCGTGCGCTGTGCGGGTTCGAGTCCCGTCCCAGGAGAAATATTTCTCTTGGCTATGGATGTTGTGATTGTCCGTAGGTGGTAGACGGTCTATAACGTACCAAAAAACCCTTGTATACCAATTTTCACTGTTTTACATCAAATATTGTTCGAAATATTTAAAAAAAACTATTTTAGAAAGTAAATTTAAACACCCTGTATTTCGGAAGCCACGCATTTTCAGACCCATGTTTATATAGACTTTATGCATTAATTTTAAAAGTTCTATCGGATCTTAAAGTTATGCAACAGTAAACTGAAACACCCTGTACATGATGTTCTACAAGGGCGCATTCCTGGACCAAATTTAATTATAAAAGTTTATTTAAACATGTGTCCTAGAAAGTCTGGTTTTCAAGATACAGAGTGTCAACGTTTAAAAAAAGTGCTGCATAAGGAAGGTAGTCATTTCGAAAATTCTTTGTAAATGTATTGTCAGAATGTTATTACTTTTCATTCCTTACACTTTAAAAAGTGGTTATCAATAAATATTGTGCATTGATCAAATTAAATTGATTTTGTTTCAACTTTTTTTCGAGATGTAATGAAGTTGGTTTTATTTTTAAGCCTTGAAAACGAAGTGGGACACAAAGAGATACCTAGAGGCAAAAAAGTTGTATAATTATCTGATTACTTTGAAAAACATACTTTTTTCAAGTAGTGGCGTAGATTTTTCTGTCAAAATGTATCAGGGGACTGCTATTGGAGTTCACAATTATCTTCTAGTTAGTGCTAACTTAGCGTCTTATTGCAATCGACAACACTGCCAAAGTTCAACAAAATCGGCATAAGGATTTTTGAGTTAGTGCGATGGCGGAGGTAAAATTCCTGACAAATCTACGCACACACCACCACATCATCACGCCTAGTAGCAATGCAATCGGACTATACGTGGACCGCCCCCAATTTCCATGCTGAGCGCAAGAATATGACATCTATCAGCTTTCTATTTCAAAAACTAAATAGAGAATCATGACCTAATTTTACAATATTATTTCAACGCTGCTTAAATTTGTAGTTTTCAAACTTCTCTGTGATTATTTTACCTTTATGAAAAAATATAATAAAACATCAACATGGTAAAATCACGAATATATCAAATTTCTCTACAAATTTCAACGTAGCGTTTTAATGCTCATACAATTTTCGTTTGTTAATTTTTTTAACTCATGAATTTGTCTCTGATGAAAATTGAAATATGGGAAAATATTAATTCTTTCATGGGGAAACGTTATAGAAGTTATATCGGAAACAAAAAGGACTATTTTATCCAAGCTTTGCAAAAAGATATGAAAGTATGTCAGAACACAACGCCTTCAACATTTGCATAACTTTTTATCAATCTCAAATACCGTCTTGATTTTAAATCATTTTGTTTAAAATTGGCACTTACAGCTTCTGTAATGGAGTCCAATGAACTAGTTGCTTCATCAAATATTAAAATAGGAGAATTCTTCAGTATAGCTCTAGCAATTGCTACTCTTTGTTTTTCACCGCCACTTAGCTTCAAACCCCTTTCACCAACTTGTGTCTCATATCTACAACAAAAAAAGGATGCAAAACTGCATAACTATAACAGTTTTTTCAATTCTCGCACAACTATAAAAAAACCTTAGGGTGTAAGAAACACTTGACTAAATCTGCTTTTTTGGATTGGACATTCTATTTCTTATATACATTGTACATAATGAGGTATGTTATGGTATTAGAATTAATGACAGTTCGACGACATGGTATCAAAAGATTAGTTTAAAATATATTTTGCTGAATTACTTCACATTTTTCAATCATTACATCTTGCATACATGTCAAACTTACCCTTTGGGCCAATGTATGATAGAATCATGTATTTCAGCCATCTTCGCGGCTCTTATAACATCATCTTCACTAGCGTTGAGATCACCATAGTGTAAATTATGTTTTATAGTATCATGGAATAAAACGCTGTCCTGTGGTACAATAGCAATTGATCGTCTTAAGCTTTCAATGTCAACCTCACGGATATCTTGATTGCCAATAAGGATTCTTCCCGCATTTGGTTCGTAGAAGCGGTATAAAAGGCGGACTAACGTCGATTTACTGTATGAAAATAGATGGATTTAAACAATGATTTTTTTATAAATTCATAACGTAGAATAAACAATATTATTGATAACGAATAATTACCCTGATCCAGATCCACCAACTATAGCTACTTTTTTGCCAGGTGGTATTGTCAAATTCAAATCCCTGAATATCTCTTTTCCAGGCCCGTATTCAAATGCGAGATTTTCGAATTTTATATCTGATTTTTTTGTATCTACATGCAGGTAAGGGGCATTTGGTTTACTCTAGAAAAAAGGAATAGTGTGAATAATGTACATACATATGTACACATTACAGGGCTCTATTCGCTGGGTGTGCGATAATAGCGCCACCTAGCGGATGTCAGTCAGAAATATTTGTTTTTGAGACCTTTGGTCGATTTGAGATGACGACCAGTTTAAATTCCAAAGTGACAATTCTATTTACTATCACAAATAATGATAGCAGAATATCTGCTCCTTTGTCAGGGCTCAGTTGACCCCACGTGACACAGATGTCAAAAAAGAGACCACACCTGTATTCCACTATATGCCCTATGATGTTTCCCTTTTTATCAACCGCGTGAGTGGCGACTGATTCACTTAGGTAATTTGGGGTGCTAAATATGAATAACTATGAAAAAATTGTGTAGTGTCGTTGTGCCAAATACGAGATATAAAATTGGTTAATTGGATGTATTATGACCCTCCATCGGTTAGTTTATACAAAATATCATATGATCCATTTTCACCTTATTATTACAATAGAACAAAATCTGACAAACCAAGGTATTTTGGAGAGCTGAATTGCATAATGACTCTCACAATATCATGGAGTGTCTTGGGGCCAATTTAAGCTAGAGAATGGGGCATCCACCAATATTTGTTCCTCCAGATCATATGGAGAGGTTTTTTAAATTTTTTTTGTCTTTACATAACTTTTTGGTTCAAATACTTGCTCACCTTAATAGCACTATCCATCGTCATCAAAGTAAACATTGTCTGCATGTCAATCAAAGCCTGTCTTACCTCTCTGTAGACACTACCTAAAAATCCTAAAGGAATTGATAATTGAAACAGCAGTCCATTTACCATCACTAAATCTCCTACAGTCATATTTCCTGGAAAAATAATACATCCCAATGAATATTTCGATTGAATAAATAGTATTCAACTGACCTTGTAAAATTTCTCTAGATGCTAATATCATTATAGCACTCATGGCAGCACTGAAAACAGCATTTTGTCCAAAGTTCAACAAAGCAAGGCTAGAACTTGTCTTCAAACTAGCATCTTCATATTTCTTCAAGCTAACATCATATTTCTCTGCTTCATATTTCTCATTATTAAAATACTGAAAAGGAAAATACATTTTGAATGAAAAAACTGACAAAAACCTTGAATGCTTGTGTAAAATTTGAATTGATCTTAGAATGATCTTGCCAGCAAGGTCAATCTATCAGATGATTTCTTAAATAAGATATACCTTAACAGTTTCATAATTGATCAAAGAATCAATAGCTTTGTTTCCAGCTTCATTCTCAGCTTGATTCATATATACTCTAAACTTAGTCCTCCACTGGGTAACAGCTAATGTATATACAGTATAAATACCTACACAACCCAGTGCAATACCTGGGTAAAAAAGATAAATATTTTAATATAGAGTAATGTAAGAAATCAAATAATCAATAGTTGTGCTGAGATCAGAGGCAACTATTGAATATCTGAGAAGTAAATGTTATTACTTTACCAGCAAATGAGCCTCCACAGTTAAGCCACAAAATGGTAGAGACCATTGTTAACTCAAATATTGTTGGTACCACATTGAAAACCATAGCAGAAAGAACAAAATTTATGCCTCTAGAACCTCTATCAATGGTCTTTGATAATGCCCCTAAAAATAATAACCTAATCAGTGAGAAACACTCCATAAATCATCAAAAACTCTTATATATTATAAAAAATCTCACAGTTATTAGGCAGTTATTAGGCAAATGTCACACTATCAGTGTTAACTATGATCAGTCAGTATTTACCATGGATTGTGGTATTTATCGATTGTGGACCACACACTGAATGTGTGACATTCACCTTGGATATTATATTAATCAAAAATAATAAATTGCTCAAAAACTGAAATTATATTTTATATTTGTTTTATCCTAGTTGATTTGAAACTAATTTAATGACAAAATTATTGTTTTTTCTTCTGTCTTTTTCTAAGAATTTGTTTGTGGAGATATCTACTAAAGCTTTATCAATTTCTCAACAGCATGTTTTTTGAATATATATTATTATGGATTAGGGTTCTATGTTTTGTGTATGCCTTCTTATTATTTAGACTTATTGTTCTTATTTAGATTCTGCACACAAATTTTCAACCCATCAACACATATACTGATATTTCAAAATTTATAAAGTGACTGATACTTATCATAATCTGAGCAATAATAACATGAATTTAGAGTGCAAGTATAATTTGAAATGTTTTAAGAGACTACATAAGCTTTGTTAACATCATACCTGTTTGCCTTTGCAAATGGAAATTTAAATCTAAATTGTGTAAATGTAGAAACACATTCTTTGCTATTTTCCTTATAGAATGTTGGGCAACCTTTGCAAATACTGCATTTCTTAATTCATTAAACCCAGCAGCCCCTGCCCTTGCAATACCATCTAAAAACAAATACAATTAGCAATAAACAAAAACAGCTTAAAAAAACTTACATCCTAGTAGCAGACTCGTTGCCACAGTGGCCACAGTAGAGGGTGCACTCTCCATGTTCAATGCTGCATTAGCATTCAAATAATCCACAACATATTTGAACAAAAAGGGTACACTAACGTTAACGATTTTAGCACTAACCAACAAGGCTACCGAGAGTTTCACCCTGTCTCGTATTTGTTGATCATTTTTTGGCCAAATATATTGTAGCATAGCTTGTATCATTTGTGTACCAGTGACTTTCTGGCTGTCCAAGGGCAGTGTGTCCCTTGAGATTATTGAAGCTCCTGGGTGGAAACATCCTCGCACTAGCTGACTTTTTGGAGCGGCTTGCGGTACTTTTTTTAAAGCCAATGCTAAAATGCTTCCTCCAATACTTGGTCGCTCTTGTTTGCATTTCTTGTGAATAGTGCTAGACTAGAAACTTGAGATATAGACATAACCTTGATCGTTACGTAAATTTTTGTAGCTTACCTTCTGGATTTGGTATGTTGACGGTGTGAACGAGTTTAAGATTTTTCGTTTTGAGTGTAAATACGAGAAATTCCTATAGCTAAATGATCGTTTTAAATGTAAAATACGGAATTTTGTGTTTATATTACTTAAAATTAGGACCGCAGCCATGATGAAACAAATGAACTACTTGTCAAAAATTATATATACTGAGTGTCACTTGTCGTTCTCGGAACAAGAAAAAGCAAAGAATAAAGACATTAGCAATGTGTAGAGTATTGGGAAGCAAAATGGCGGAGATATGTGTCTAATCTTCTCGCCACTTCAAAATTTATCTATGGAGGAAATGGAAATGACATAACATTTGGCAGAAACGTCAAAAAGAAATTTCAGTAAATAGCCGAAAGCTCAAAATCCAGTCCTAATTTTTCTCAAAAAAAAAAAATGGGTTTCAACGAAACAGTTTACAACTTGATCTTCAAAAGAACCTCTACAATGGCTTTGGCATGTGTCGCTTCGGCATTTTTCTTTGAGAGGACCTTTGATTTGGTTACCGAGAATCTTTTTGAAAAGATCAACGAAGGGGTTAGTATCTTACGTAACTAGGAATCTCTACATTTTAACAAAAATCTGTTTGACATGCTTGTTTTTCCAAATTGTTGCAGATTAAGACATTGCAAAACTGCCTTACCTTTTTATACAAAATCAGTAGGTAGTGTTTTACCTCAAACTAAGGCAAAGTTTCAAGTTTTTTTGATGCTGTACTAGGAGCCTTTTTCACCCAAGGTTTTATCAGCTTTGCACTCTGAAAAGTTCTATTATTGATTTTTGTCATTCTTTTGTTACAGAAACTGTGGAAGCACATCAAGGATAAATACCAGCAGTAATTTTTAAGAAACTAGTTGTGAAATGTTTAGCATTGTTTATATGTTCTAAATAAAAAAAATAAATTCTAAACAATATTTTATTTTAATACTCTAATATCTATTCTGTAACTTCCCATGGTTTTTCTGGTCTATATGGATCTGATGGTCTTGGAGCCTTATATTGTTCTGGCTCTTTCAATGAGACCCCACCATCTTCAACTGCCTTCAGAAATTGGGCTACTTTTTGATCAGGCGATGCTGGTTGTATGAAACATCCTATCTCTAAAAGTCCACATTGTAAACATCGGTCAGCCAAAACCTAAAAAGAAAAACCAGCTAGTTATTACATGGTTTTAGAAGAGAAGGAAAATGTAAAACATACCCTTCCCAAATTTACGTAAGCTGATGTATCTTTAGTTTTATAAAGCTGCTTCTTGATTGCCCATTCTGAAGTACTTGCCCTCAGAACTTCTCCATTTTCAAAGTGTTTTATAATTGCAGTGACATATCTGCCCGTTACTTTTAATTCTAATCTGAAAATATACAGGGTTATCAATTGATACTGAACGATAGTTAATTGAGTACTTGTGCCAATATCGTTTTCCAAGACTATCTACATGGAATCCATCTGGTTTATATCCAATTCTCATTTTTTCCAAATTTCTTGGGTTTCTGTTTGTGAATACCTGCGACACTTCATTTCCCGATACGGCTGTACTAGCGAATCTCGATATTCCTAGTTTTTCAGCTAATCTAATTGTCTTAGAAGATATTGTATTCATTTTTTAAATCGTTAGAAAATATTCAAAAATGTGAGGGATTTTAGCTACATAACCTTTCTTGGTACTTGACAAGACGAAGTATTCCACAGAACATATAAGTAATCCACAAGATAATGTGACCCAGATGTAAAATTTACAGAAAAAGTATTGTGTCACGAGTATTGTGTCATTTTTACAAATTCATACTGATTGGAAGAATCAAAATGGCTAACGTTACTTGTCTTCTGAATGGCAACATTGAGTCTTTTCTCAGACGGTATCTTATTCTGTGAAATTCATCTGTGAAGAGGTGGGAAAATAGAGAAAAATAAAAATTTGTTTACAATCATCCAAAATAAATTAGGCAGTACAAAGTTCATTGCTTGAATTCCAAATGTGAAAGTTCTGAAAATGGCTCTCTTCAAAATTTTTCCTCGATTTGGTAAGGGTCAAAATGATTAAAAAACAATATTGTTGATATTCGACTTTTTCAGCAACAGGTGTTCTGCAGAGGGGCATAGCCTCTCTGTCAGGCCTATCGGAAACACATCAGATGCTACAACAGACATGTCGAGATTTTGCCGAGGGTGAATTGAAACCAGTGGCTGCTAAAATAGATAGAGAACATTTATACCCCCAGGAACAAATAAAGAAAATGGGAGAGCTGGGACTGATGGCTGTGGCAATACCTGAAGAATATGGGGGCACAGGCTTAGATTACTTAGCGTACGCAATAGCAATGGAGGAAATATCCAGAGGGTAAACTTATCACAGAATTTAACATTGATATTCTGATAGACTTACTGATTTTTAGATGTGCAAGTACTGGTGTAATAATGTCAGTAAACAATTCTTTGTACCTTGGACCCTTACTGTACTGGGGCACAGAGGAACAGAAACAGAAATATATAACACCTTTCACAACAGGAGAAAGGGTATGTTATGGTAACTTTTAAACCTGAACTTACAAAAGAAGATTGTTTAATAAAGAGTATTATGATGCCATACAGTTGTTTAAGCACAATCTTGCTATGTACTATATATTTTGAAAGCTGGTAATGGGGTTATGTGAAGATTTATGTTGGATGCATGCAAACCTAAATCTTAAGGCAGCTCCAATGCAGTGAGTTTCAAGCCATTTACAAGGGTTCAGCTGCTTCAAAACTGACACTCCATTTTTCAATATTTTTGAATAAAATTCATACAGTATGTTGAGAAGATAATTGCCCAGGGTGCTATAGGAGCAGTTTATGAGATTTTGTTTTTGCACAAGTTTTATGATGGGTTGAAGTGCGCACTCTATCTGTTCAACTTCGTTATTTTTTTAAAAAGGATGTAGTAAAAAAAATTGGCTCTATAGCATCCTGTGGGGTTTTGTTTTCAGCACTCTGTGAAAATTTCATCCAAAAATATCAAAAAATAAAGCGTCAATTTCGAAGCGCGCAAACCTCTACAAATCGTATTTTGGACGAATTTTGTCTACTGTTTCGTGCTGCCAACCCAAGCGTTCCGGCGCAATGTACTGACTAAGAAAGGACGTATTCAGATAATTTGGTGGCCCTATTTCATGTAATATCGCGTAGATAAGTTGTTCTGCAAATAGGTACTCATAATCGCGATCGCTGATACTCCTCGATTTTAAAGCCGTTTTACTTCCCACGTCATTGGCGAGGAAGTATTGTAATCGCGAAAAATTTCTAAAATGAGATGTTATGTTTTTTAAGTCATAATCTACATCACGAAAAACTGTATCACTCATCAACTTGGAAATAACCGCTCGGATTTTTATGAAATTTCCACATGGGGTTACTAGTATGCCAAAGCTTTGTAGTTTTAGTCCAGTGGCAACGGTGCTATAGGTAAAAAAGAAAAAGTAACAATTGCTGAAACTCCGTTTTTGACGTTACAGGGGTTCCGTATCATTGACAGAAAAAAAATTGTACTGCTTAAAAAGTGGGGGTTGGGGAAAGGTGATAGTGAATGTTGCATCTTTCGTATCAGTGAAACACGTTCTATTATTAAGATGCTTCTGATCCCAGAGATTACAGGAAATTTAAGTAACGAAAATCCGACGAACAATGTGCTCACGATTTGACACCAAGAGCCAACAGATCTATCTGCAACTGCCGACAGTAGGGAAGAATGAATTCAGATATCAGTCCAGTCAAGTATAGGGGAATTTAGCGTGGAACTTTAAAATTATCGATATGTCCAGGAAATATGTTTTTGAGAACGATAATTTGGTAGATTTTATACCTGCATTTTCATTTGAATTTCATGACCCGTGAAATGTACCCATTTCACCGTTACGTTCAATTTGTGTTCTGCAGTTTGTGATGTTTTTCTGGATATAAGCAGGACATAATTGCCTAAGGAGCTATCAGAGCATTTTACAAAATTTTGTATTTGCGCAAGAATTATGGTGGGTTGAAATTCTTACTATCGAATTTGTGCTCAACTTCTTGATATTTTAAAAAGATCCTAGTGGATAAAATCGAAAAAGTGGATCGTTAGCACCATGTGAACTTTGTTTTTAGCAAGAGTTTAATTTGGAAATAATAAAAAATGAAACGTAAGCTGTGATGTGCAAATCGGTTTTTGGGCGAAATTCGTCTACTGTCTCGTCCTGCCAGTCCAAGCGACGCGACGGTGCGTTCCGACTAAGAAAAAATGTATTAAAATAATATGATATCTTTCCTAAAATAAATTCAAGAACTCAAATTACAATTCGTTTATTCATGTCAGTAAACACAATTATGTTTACAAGGGTCATTTGGTACATGGTAACAATTGAATGAGTCATAAAGATATCTTATGCCGTCAAAATAAGAGGAAACAGTTAGATAGGTTTTGCAAAGCAATAAACAGGTAGGCTTATACCTGGAGTAAGTACATTTCTTGTCTACTGTAATAGGTAGATGGAGGCGATGCTGCCAGAAATGGATGTGTGCGATCAATAAACAAACCACAAGACTGAACTGCAGTGTCCAATGATTTTTGTATTGCCTTTTTTATTGTGTTACTAGAAAACTCTGTTGGGTATATGATGGAGTTTACTAGAACTTTACAGCTTGTTGTCTGCCTTCTTCTACAAACTTCACCAAATCGAGACGCTGTCAACCTTATCCTCCGATGAAGGCGCGACAAAGTACAGTCCTGTGACTTGTTCGATCTGCAAAATCTCGTCGTCACGTTTTTCAAGTTTCCCTAAAAATGTTCGCTTAGCAACCTCCAAATCAATGTAGTTATTGTCAGTTTTTTGATTGAATTCGCCATAAAACTACTAATTTTCTTTGGAATTGCTATCCAAATTGTTAGTTATTTTTATATCAGCTTTTGTTGGTCTGACTTTCTTTTCAAGATTCTTGCGTTTGAGTCTTTGTTCGATCTTAGCGATAAGCGAGGTTGGACTAAGCTTAGAACGCAAATGTATTTAGACCACATATACAGGCCGCTGGGTATTGTGGCTCACTACAGCTGCAGCAAATCTTCCATGGGATGACCTCTTCTTGCAAGAATTTATTCGCTTACCGCAATGTATTTTGCGATTATAGAGTTGAACTGCTCCACACTTTTGTTGACCTCATCATGAATTAAATTCACTACATTCGTAATTAAAATGGTCGCATATGACCCTTTATTGTCCATTATCAGCCTTGATAAAAAAAGGCACTCAAGAACAATCACACCAACAACAATTCAACAACACAATATCGAAGAACAGTAACAAGCGGAGAAAAATACTAAATGATCACTTGCTGAGTACCAAAATAAGAAACGATTTACTTCTAGATCGAAATCCGACTCTGTTATTCTAAAAATTTACCTTGGTATGCACCCGCAGTAATCCTTTCCTCTTTTAAAGTAGCGCCGACGACCGTCTAGGCCCAACCCACCCTCGTTTCCTTTTCACCCCCCCATTACCTCAGCAGATGGTGGTAGTGATTGTAGGAGCCCCGTTAAGGCAGAACCAATAAGGTGGGACTTGTATTATGTGCTGCACAAGGCAGGAACTCTGCTTCAAAAAATGATTTAGCATAAGACTGTATGCAACACTTTGACATGACTTATCGATTCCAATAAAATAAGTAATTCTACTATAGTATTAAATATTCTTAAACTGTATCATAGTTAACGTAATCTATATAAAATTAAGGTTTCAAATTGATTGATAATGCCAAATTATTCATTGAATCTGTGCTTTTTATGACTAAAGTATTGTTGACCTGATAGTGACTTTCATTCAGGTGGGATGTTTTGCCTTATCAGAGCCTGGCAATGGTTCAGATGCTGGGGCTGCCTCAACAACAGCTAAAGATGCTGGTGACCACTATATTTTAAATGGGGCAAAAGCTTGGATAACTAATGGTTATGAAAGTGAAGCTGCAGTTGTATTGGCCACTACTGACAAAAGTTTGAAACACAAAGGTAACACTTTTTATACTATTTATATAGGTCAAAATGGCCTAGAATATAGTATAAAGCACTTGGCAGTATATAGAGCTGCAGATTTGAATACTACAAGCTTCTGTTATTGTATACTGTGACTAAGATAATGTCAAAATATATGTCTTTTTTATCAATTTTCTTGTATTCTTTTTACATACTATGTGTATGATATACTGCTCCTAATAAGTTTTATAAAGTTTGTAGGCTGTCTGGATTAAATACATTATAGTAGTTCCATGGACATCTATTAATTTTAGTATCTTTCTTCAGGGATTTCAGCAATAATAGTGCCAAAACCAACTGAAGGATTAGAATTAGGCAAAAAAGAAGACAAACTAGGCATAAGAGGTTCTTCCACTTGTACACTCATGTTTGAGAATTGCAAAGTCTCCAAAGAAAATTTGCTGGGAGAACTTGGATTTGGTTTCAAGGTAAAATAATAAAAAACCAGTTTTACAAAATGATTAATCCAATGCTAATTAAATGTATTGAATTTTGGCTACAAACTCCAGAGGTTTTGTTGATAGAAGAAATATCCCAGATAGTACAAGAATAATATCATCACCAGAGACTCTGTTAGATCTTGTTATTACATTACCTTGATTTTTTTTTGACACCCAATTAAATTTTGATTCTCATTATGAGAAAATTATAATCAAGATTAGTAGTAGTGGGATATATATCAATAGTTTCTGGATGTCGGAGTTCATATAGTAGACAAATTATTTACCTATAATACTATCATTCTTCAAATTTCTTGTACTGTTTGACTATTCTATATTTAGCTAATTCCTCATTAGAAGGACTTTAATTTGACAAATGCTTAGCAAGTTGAAATCAAGCTTTATCAAATATAAAAATAATATACTTCCACCATGTCTAACTAAATTAACATCACCAAATACCTACTATCATTTACAGAATCCAGGGTTGATTGCATAAGGTAAATCAAATACAGAGATTGGAGACCAGAATATTTTGAAGTAAATTTGAGGAATCACTTGTTAAATCTACAATTATAGCTTGCCCAGCATGTGCATCATATGGCTTGAATTTACTAATTCTAAGTTGTTTCTAATTATTCTTTTTATGTAGGCAAACGTGTTAAATAAATCCTTGTACTACTATTACTACTTACTAAAAACAAACCGCATTTTCCTTCTAAAAAAATGTTTATACTTAAACGTGGCATCAATTCCCAAGGGACGTTGCTCTTCAACTTCGCCTGGTAATTATTCATAAGATTTTGTACCATCAGAATTTCTGAACAGTAGAAAAATAAATTTCATAACTTGTGGCAACAATCCGAGAGGTGGCAACGTTGGCGCCTAAAGACGGTATAGTCAGCTAGCAGTTGTAAGTGTTTCCCGGCGCTACTGTACGTACGCTTACTTTTGCGCAGGCACAGTTTTCAACTGGATTGGGTATCTTCTGTTGGAATATGTCAATCAATGATAATAATAACAATAATAATGGCCAGTAAAGTAAGCAAGCAAATTTTCAGGTTGCAATGATGACTCTAGATGCAGGTAGAATAGGAATTGCTGGACAAGCATTAGGCATTGCTCAAGCAGCTCTAGAAGTAGCTGCAGAATATGCATCAAAAAGGCTGGCATTTGGAAAACCCCTCACCAAATTGCAAACAATCCAGAACAAACTAGCAGATATGTCCTTCCAGTTGGAATCAGCAAGGTAGTATTTCTTCCAAATTTCCTTTTTATATATTCTCCTTTTCACCTGTAAAATATATAGCAAGTATTTTAATCGCGAAAATGAAATATATTTTTGGAAAAATCATGTCACTCGGTCTGTCTGCTAACCTTGGAAAGTACTGCTCGGATTTGATGAAATTTTCACACAAGGTTACTATTATGCCAACGACAAGAAAGCTTTTTAGTTTTTGAAAATCGGCCTAGTGGCGGCGGAGCTATGGGTAAAAGGCGAAAAAATAAAAATCGCGGCATTCATCAGCAAGAGATAACTTTGTGGGAAAGAGTACCTACCAAAACTTTTTTGAAGAGTAGATGGTAGCAATTTTTTTCAGGCCAAAGCCAAACATAATCCTTTCCACAGAGTTAACCTACTTTATTTTTAGATTGTTGACGTGGCGAGCTGCATGGCTGAGAGATAACAAGCAACCTTATACAAAAGAGGCTGCAATGGCTAAATTGGCTGCAAGTGAAGCTGCCACATTCATTAGTCATCAATGTATACAAATTTTAGGAGGAATGGGGTAAGTATCTTGTTATTTGTCATAGATTTACCATTTAGATAGATCATTATCATTTGTAATTTTTTTCATGTATACTTCCTTACAGTTTTATATTATGTTTTTATCTGTAGTAATAGCACTATTGCTTGTTCTATAACTTGCCAGACATGAACAGGACTAAATAAATAATCTGAATACCCAACCCTATTTTCCTCTGCTTTCAGCATAGTATACAGTCTGCTAAATGAATGGCAGCAGAATTCATTTTTTCATATACTCATGTATTTTACTTTATAGCACAAGGAAAATGGAGTCAGTCTAGACTTTCCATGCAATTGAAAAAACTTCTAGTTCACTTTTCCATGTAGAACAAGTTTTAATGGCAAATCTATGTGTGAAATGTGTCTAACATGTGCGCAGAATTACCGAGGTTGGAAGTGTATTAATATACTAACCTCAAGAAAATTGCGTTACAACTCGCCAACTCTACCAAAAATGATCAGGATCATTTGAAATGTCAAATGACGAAGATTGGGCGATTTTTTTTTTGTTTTCGGAATTTTCCTCTGTCACCACTGGACCGATTTTAAAAAGTACAAAGCTTTTTCGTCCTTGGCATAGTAGTAACCTTGTGTAAAAATTTCATCCAAATCCGAGCAGTACTTTCCAAGTTATAGACGAGACAAGCATTTGCGGACAGACAAACAGGCAGACGGAAATGAGTGACATGGTTTTTCGTGATGTACATCCAAAAAAACATCACATTTCCGAAATGTTTCTCGTTTACAATACTTCCTCGCCAGTAGGCGTGGGAATTAAAATAAAAGAAGAAAGAGTAATAAATGGTGGTTGAGAAAACAATGGGAATATTTCTATAGCAGAATGTACTATATATATCTCCGCGTAACATCGAAAAGCTAATATTTCATAACCGTCTCCTGAAAAGAGCTCAGCCGAGCGGTAGCCCTTGGACAAGCTGTAGCTGAGCGGTTAAATCGCGGGAGGGCAGAGGTGAGCGGATTTATCCTGGCATCACATAGCAGAGTGAGTTTGAGTGCATTCGGTGACACAGACTGCTACTGCTACACGGTGGTATCGAGTAAAAATAATACGGAAAGTTCATCCGAACATGGATCTTGACATGCCGAAAATACCAAGATACAGTGTTGGAGTTGATTTCAAAATCATGAAGAAATTATCTCCAGAACGGTATCGACCTGAAATTTTGTATATATAGTATCAACTTTTTGTGGGTCCGTCTATACCTGTGGCGTAGAAACTAGAACATTGCAACCCCTACATAAGGGGTTCTTACTTTTCGGATTTTAGATAAGCTATCTTTTTACTGTTTGAGACATTCAACTTTCAGAATACACCGAAGTTAGTAAGGTTGTCATTAAAAATTGTATTGAGTATATTAGGGAAGTAAGAAAGGCGCCTGCCTGTACAATATTGTCACAAGTAACACTACCCTGTAAGGTTTTAGACACGCCAGCTCGCTATAGATACTCAAAACCACATGTACTGATGAGTATGCATAATCAGCAATTCTTTTCGGCCAACGTGGGGATGGTATTGGTTTTAAAAAATAGTTGAGCATACGCCCGCGGAAGTCTCCCTTGCCATTTTACCTGGTCATGACAATATTGGGGAATTTTAAGATTTGACACAGAAAATTATCATTTGCCGACCGCTGGCGCCACTGGGAAAAATTCCTGCGAGCTCTGAGTAATCCCTCTCCACCAAATTATTTGAGGAATATTCGTGTTTTGTTTTTAACCAGCCTCGTCAGCATTAGAATATTCAACACCCTGTATCTTGGTACTGGAACATTTATAAAGTATGTTGGTAGAAACGTTTTAAGTTGTTTGCTCTAGAAAAATTGCCAGTGTTTTTTTAATCTCCCAGTATATACGGGCTTGATTTGATGCACCCAGTGTATGTTGAACGTTTTTCAGGTATGTTTCTGATATGCCAGCAGAGAGGCATTACAGGGATGCAAGAATAACGGAAATATACGAGGGTACATCTGAAATTCAAAGGATGGTTATTGCAAATTGTTTACTTAAAGAAATGGGCCTGAACTAAAATCTTACTCTGTATATTCACAAAAGTTACATGAGGATTTGGTGGCAAAAAAGTAAAACCATATTGTTGATGATGACATGCATCTGTTTAATTTTATGTACAAATAAACAAATCTCAGATTTGACGATTCATACAGCAGTTACTTTGTGTTCTCAACAGGAAAACTAATAGCTGATAATTTGCATCATTTTCAACATCATGAGCAATATATGGTTCAGTGCCCACCACCAAAATTGTGTATTTTATAAGACAAAAAACATTTTACATATGCAATTTGGTCAGACAACATACATAATCATGAGAATATTTTATTTATAGGATAGTTCGATAGTTGATAGTTTAAGCTTAGGGAAAATATTTGTCAATTTTGTGAATTCTTATGTAATGTGTTTAGTGTGACTTTATATTTATAAATCTTTTTATATCATAGTTCTGCGTTCATAGGACATATTTTTAGTTGTTTGGAAGTAACATTTTAGGAATGCAAAAAATGAAAAAGATAAAAACCATGTAAGAATTAAATATTTTTATATGACAAATATTAATATATACGAGTATGACTTTACAACATGATATTGTTATATCTGATTTTTGCGACAAATAAAATTTGTTATAATTTTAAAAACAGCTTTATTATATAAATTAATTTTGAGAATGCAAATTACACGAGACTCGAAATAAATTTGTCTATTATATAAAATTGCGGAAAAAAGATAACTATTACATTAATGAACAATTTTAATAAATTAACACCATAACTTTAATATATGGAGCAAAATGAAAGAGATGGTATAAAAAGAAAAAAAGAGGAAAAATGCAAGGAATAAATTTTCTTCTAAGTGTACAAAAGTATATCTTAGTCAGCTGGTCTCTTTTCACTGTGCTTTTTCGTGTACTCTTCTGCGTTTTTTGTGAACTTTTTTTTGTCCTTCAGGTATTCTTCTGCTAAGTCGCCACGTAGAGGGTGCTCAGGCTCTGGTTCATTTACAAGAGCTACTAATGCTTGAATCACTAAAAAAAAAATGATAATAAGCTCATATAATAACAGCAACCGATTTTATAGTAAACATTGTGTCATTATTAGATTCTTTGTATGACGCCTTGAGTTCATTGTGTACGGGAGAGAAGAGCGAGAAGTGTGTATCAACACATGTTAGAAAGAGATAGAAGCCGACTGAAGGTCGAGGGTCATCACCACATTGCCTAGCGACGGTGACGCAGAGGATGGTGCATTCTGTGGACAATCTGTTACATCGCACAGACTTCTACAATAGATTAGGTTACTGTCAAACCCAAGAAGGTCTATTCAAACATTAGATTTAATATTTTGTTTTCATTTTGATTAGAATTATTTATTTCAACTTTAATGTGACTTAGTGTGTTCATTTATTTTAGAATTATCTTTAATTTCCACCAATGGTCATAAAATCAACACATCCTGAGTTGCCGCTCGCTGTCGCGAAATGTAACAAATAATATTATTACGCAATACAAATTATCACTGTCTGCGTGTACACAGGTGAAAGCCATTTCGAAACAGAGCGACACTCCCCAGTAAGCGCTAGATAGGTACTGATCAAAATCGCTCATCAGTGATGATGGAGGTGGAAACCTTGCCTTGAAATGTACGAGCTGCGGTGTTGCCAAGCGAACCAATGATGGAATGTTGCAGAATTTGTGAACTTTCATTTCGACCTAAAATGAAGCGGCGTTAGGACCGATCCGGAATCGATCCTTAACCGATTCGACATAATTATTCACAATTCAAAAATGTGTACGCTCCAAATAAAACCATTATTTGAGCTTAGAGAATACACTAATGCATATTTTCCAACATGCATCTTAATTCAAGGAACTGGTGCAACATATTGCTATCGCGACAGCCTACAGTTGCTAGGCAACGCGCTTGTGAGCTTCGTTGTCCAGCCGGCTTCTATCTCTTTCTAACATATGTGTCTAAATACAAAAATAGCTGGAATAAAATCATTTCATTTAAACGAATCAGTCAGTGCAAAAGCCTCATAAAGTCCCACTAATTTAAAAATTTCAGGAGACAATAAAAACTGATACTGAGAAACTAGTTTTAAAGTACTTTTCTGGCCTTAATATAGCATACAAAAAATTTAAAATATGTTAGGTATTCCACAGGGCAGTATCCTGGGACCACTCCTTTTCAGTTTATACATAAACGGTGTACCTGCATTAGTAAAAAAATTCAAAATTCAGATTTTTGCTGATGACACTTTGATTGATATAAGTATTAAAAATATTCAGGGTATCTCTTATATAAATGAAGACTTGAAATTTGTTTCAAAATGGTTATCATCGAAAAAACTAAAATTGAATACAAGTAAAACGAAATCTATGTTAATTAAAAAAAAAAAACAATGTACAAATGTTCAACTAAACATTGATGGTGAAGATATTGAATTCATAGAGAATTTTAAATACCCTGTAGTTTTGTGGCTCTCAATGTTTGATATTCATTAAGAAAAAGTTATAAATAAGAGTAGTCAAGTGGAATATTTATCAAGAGTTTCTGGATGTCTGAGATCATATAGCAGAAAAATTATCTTCAATACTATCATTCTTACAAATTTCTTGTATGGTTCAACCATTCTATATTTAGCTAATAATTCCATTTTTCAAAGACTGCAAATTTTATAGAAAAAGTGCATGAGAATAAAGATCCAATTAGACCAATGGTTTGGTAATGATATTTCCACCATGCCTAACTAATTTAACATCATCAAATGCCAACCAACATTTACATAATACCAGAAATAAAAATGACTTGCTTTTAATGGCCAAAAAATATCATATGCTATAAATCTGTATTCCATCAACGGTTGATTGAATACAATAAGTTATATACAGAGATAAAAGACCAGAAAACTTTGACAACATTCAAAGTAAAATTGAGGAATCACCTGTTAAATCTACAATTATGACTTGCCCAGTATTTACATCATATGGCTTGAATTTACTAATTGTATGTTGTTTATAATTATTCTGTTTATGTAGCCAAACATGCTAAATAAATCTTTCTACTATGACTATATGGGTCATGAAAAATTGAAATTTCAAATAACCACAATTTATTAATAATAATGGAGAAAGTATGAAAAACTGTTATGGACATTAGGTTAGTGGTATATTGCCTATGCAAAATAAACAAAAATTGTGAAACAAAATGTTGATGAAAGTGATACTTAAACCTCAATAGGTTCTTCGACAAATTTGATAACTACTACTAGCAAAAGCAGAGATGCAGCTGTGTTAGGGTTAGATATTATTAAACAGGAGGCAACTATTTGCTGGTTTGAAATTTTTATACCTTGGTCAGTTTTTGTGGCTGGTTTCCAGTTTTCAGCACTGATAATTGGTAAACACACTTGACCTTTTTCATCTATGTTAGGGTGGTAAATTTTGGTTTTGAAGTTTATTTTAGGTGGTTTGAAAGGGTATTCTGCTGGAAAATTGATTTCTATCTTGAAGGCTCCTTTATTGTATGGTGGATTATCCTAAAAAAGATTACTTTTTCATTTATTTGAAAATAAAAGAATAAAATCTTAATTTTCTGATAGAAACATAAGGGTTTAAAGTCCATGTTGAATCAAAACTGGAAGTTACACATGTCATATTTTTCTAATTTGGTTTTATGATTAAATAAATCAAAACTGATGCCAAAAATACATAGCAACATACAGAGTATCCCAAAATAATATGCCCATCTCTTAGTTACTATGTCCTATGACTGCTACTGAAAATTGATTTTTATCAAATAAGTCTTTAAAATCACTGTATAGTTCAATGAAATTTTGACAGCTTAGTCACAAATGAACAATCACTTATTTAGATCACCAGGGATGGATGAAAGCCAACACATTATTGCTGAGAAACTTTACACCCTGTTGCATAATGGTTTAAGGCTGTATCTTCAGTTATTCCGAAAATTTTAGGATGCTGTTATGGCCTCCTTCATTTTCACACTCTTTTCTCTCCAGAAAGGCAGGGGTATTACTAGATTTCAAGTGTTCCATGTCAGTGCTCTATTTTGAGGTTATGTTACAAATATTTATTTGCATCAAATTGGATATGCTTTTGATTTTTGTCATCTGTTTTATCCTACAATTCCAAAAGAAAACATACAATAGGAGAGTGCTAACACTGACCCGGAACAGTAGAAATGTTAAATACCCCAGCCTTTCTGAAGGAGTGAAAACACTATGAAAATCAAGGAGGCCATAAAGGCATCCTACAATATTGTAGGAACAACTAACAATATGGTCCTTAAGAATAACATTCCTGATTATCAGCTTTATTTATCCAAATCATGAAACCTATCAAGTAAAGCTCTAATTGGTTACTAAGCTGTCAAAATTTCATTAGACTATCCAATGTTCATTAAAAGTTACTTAAGAAAAACAGTAAAGTAGAAGAGGATCTTGTTGCTTTATTTTGTTGGGTTTTATATACATATGAGAAATCAACATTATCCTGGGACTACCTGCATAAGTGGAAATTTTGGCAAAAATGTTTCATGTACTTTTTATTCTGAATAACTTGTATCTTTTTGCACATCGCTGGCAATTGATACTATTAAGCTATATGATATGCAATGTGAATTATAACCAGATATGAATTAAAAATTACTGGTGATGAACTACATTTGTTGCAAAAACTGTTATGGTTGATTGGTTTTTTAGAACTTACTGGTACAATCAATCCTTGCCAGGTGAGGATATTTGATTCATCTACCTGGATATCACGGAATGACTTCAATCCAGAATTTCGAATATCTCCTAGCTCCTGAAACAGATACAAAGGGGTACATTTTTAAAAATACACTTTACCACATGAGTCATAACTAGGTTCAATGTTCTCGAGAAACTGTTTATTCTAACAAGAATTTGAATCGGGTTATGTAAAAACGAATATAACATGATATAAATTTATTTGGACATGTTTATAGAAAACGTGACATGACAGGAGCAAAATATACTTACTTTTTGTAACCTTCTCGTGGCTGCCATTTTGATAGTTTTTTTTATCAATACACTGCACAAGGTGGAAGTGTATATACAGATGTGTTGCAAATTAAAAATGTACAAGGCGTCGAATCACAACTAATTTAAACATTTAAAAATACTGGATCTGCTCCAGCAGGGTTCCTATCATCACTTTCCAATTTTTTTTGTAAAATTGACCCTGAATTTGACACACTTTAATGACAACTGGCGGGTCTGACTTCTGACAGATCACGGCGATAGGCGGTGTTGTCAAGTAAAATTTTATTTCTCCAATATACGGATTTCAAATCCAACGAGTGAACGCGTATAAAAAACCCTTTCAAACATCTTTACTCTGCCTCAAGACAAATACAAGGACTCGAGCCCCATTTCTATTCGAATGTCCCTGCTTGCACTGGCATATTTAGCTCGTTGGCCTGTATGAGCGTGGGGGTTTGAAAAATTCCGCTGGTGTTGGAGCCTTATGAGTTACGGTATGATATCAAAAAATAGTAGAACAGTAAAGTGGTAAATGTTACATATGAAACTTATTGTGCGGTTTTATCGATTATGATGTGGAGATTCATTAAAATCGTATTTCTGTTTCTCCGTTTCTACACATTTTTAGTGTTTTTGTTAACATGTTGATTAATTGTTGAAATTTGGAAATGGATATGCTTAAATAAAATATATACATTTTGCGTGTTTGTATCTTGGTAGAATCAATCGACATAAGCACAGAGTCAACCAAAACCTAGAACAATTTATTTAGAAAGCAACATAATCCTTGTGATACCTCCGCCAACACTTCCAATAACATGAAGATAATTAGGCAATACTGTTAAATGTCACAGACCATCTGAATGAGGGTGGGGTTGACGACTCAGATAATGATCGGAGACAAGTGCTAAAAAACGCCACTTCTCTTTCTTGTGGCTACTATGATATTAGGAAGAAAAATGGCAACGTTAAACACGTATGTCCCTTAGCACTTCAGAAAATACTATTTTTAGTTCACAAATTCTTCTTAGGCAACGCATCAATTGTGTTCCATGTCACGTCCAGTCATCTCGACAAATCGTTAAGTTGTCAAAAAAAAAGATACAAGTTGTCATCGGTGAGTTGCAGTGCCTAGATTTCGTAATTCTTCTAATATTTTTGTGGAATTTGTTTATGAATTCATAAGATGTTGCGTGCGTGGAAAATGTGAAAAAATGGGTGCTAAAGACTCGAAAAGAAGTTGCCTGAGCTACGAAGATGCAGTTAAGCGAAGTAAGTGCATATCTTGTCACAGAGTTCGCCATAGACGGCCTAGCTGCATACAGCATCATGTGATTGTTAAATGTAAATATTATTATAAAAAGAACTGTTGAATCCGCAAGGCGCTCTCAAGGAAACTACTGCAATTAACAGGTCATTCTGCTGTGATTGTCTTCACGAAATTCCTATTCCGTGCACCGCGCCGACGTGTGATGATGTATTATCTTTTATCTTGATGATATTTCGCGTTTTTTAATTCGACTTAAATGGTGATTTCCACCACGAATTTTATTAATTCACCGCAATCAAATTAGGATGTTCGCGATGTGTCGGAGCTCTTTCAATGTCCCTATTTAATTGTTTGTTTATGTAACATTTATTTACTGTGGAGAAGCAAGCACATTGTAAAACTGGTTATGTGAAATTATCATGCCAGTCGTATGTACCGGGCATATCTTTATACCGTAATTTGATGTAATTGTTTGGTATTTCTTGACTCTTGCTCTGTAACCATACATTAAAACATGAAATGTTGCTGGAAGAATGATATATACATATGTTCCAGAGGAAATGTATCCAATAAAATGTGCTTTTCTGTAGTTTCAGTAAAGTAGTGCTACTAAAATTAACACATAAATATGCCTTAATTTATCTTACAAATCTTACATTCTCTAGTGCTGTTCTGAACATATATTTATATAATAGGTAAAACAGGTACCATTAATTATAAGGTTCAGAAAAGACAAAGAAAATGAATCATAGGTATGATATTTATTTACACTTGAATAGTTTCTTAAATCAAATGTTGTTACCTATACTCTTTGTTCTTGATCTCTATTTTTGTGATGTATGAACAGAAATTTGTAAATTGATTACCATAATTTTTAGTGCAATTTTTTTGAATTGTTTTTGATCCTATAAATCTAGACTATATTAGCAATATGTTACATACAATCATGTGTATTGTTTGGAAACATCTGTGATTCATATTATTCCTCTGCATTGCATTCACAGTACTTTATAATTATTGATTGCATAATTATGGTGATACTGGTGATGCATAAACACTTATCAGTATCATCGTGAATCTATAAACATATATCAATCATTGAATGATATCCTTAGTTTTGTTTTTTTAAATTGCTGATTTATACATATATACCTTAACAGCCATCAATATAGTTATTTCATAAAGCTTAGCCACTGAACAAAATTTTTCATTGACAGCATCTTCATGTCCAATATTTCCCATATTTAAGTCAATACTTGCTGATTTGCTCAGGTTAGGAAATATACCTTTCTGTTGATTGCATATAATTTGTATATAGATGTATTTTTCCCAGTAAAAATACAGTGTTCCTATGAGTGATTATTGATAATTAAATGTTTATTATGAATCATTCATTGATAAACAGTTTTTTGATATCATTTGAACTAGAAATATTTTTGAAATCAGTCAGTTTTAATATTATGTTCTTATAGCAATATACACTCCCTCAGCATATAGTTAGATTTCATCAAACAATGAGACGGTGAGTTGGCTAGAAAAATTTGGGTGATGGAGGTCACATCAACCATGGAAAAAAGGGCAACATGAATTTCACAATCAAGAATCATTTTACCCTCCAATGTGCCTTTTTTCAAAATTGCTCATATTTGAACCTCCAATACCAAATTTGAGTTGTATTTCACAAATATTGGGACATTTTGAAAGTCTTGCACTTGTTTGTCAGTCTTAAGAAAATGTCAAAAAATTTTAAATCCAAAATCATCATGATGAGTCAATTACTATCCTTAGCACCACAAAAGGTAGAAAAGTCCCATGATACTATCATGTAAAGTCTGTTTTTCTCATGCTGGATAATGCATGAAATGTGCAATTTCTTATCTAGCTTATTCTTGAATAAATTGACAGTTGCTGCACTCACTGTTTCTTCACTAAGGTAGCTCTATGACCATGTTTATAAATTTCCCCTTATCAACTCGGATGCTCATTCTTTTTCTATTTTTTGGAATTCCCTTGGAGATGAAGATTCTGACTCATATTAAAGATTTGAATTATTGCCTTATGGGATGCAAAGTCATAAAGTTGAGCATTGCATTGCTACTTCACATATTGATTCATGCAGTCTAATTTTTCGCAATTATGTTCTAAAATGACCGGACTAGCGTTCATTGTCTAGAATGTCGCTAACGGCGGCGTTAGGAAAATGTGAATGCAAATGTGAAATGTAACCTTGGCATAACAAAACGGTTTTATTGAGATGTAAATTATAGATAGGATAAATGCACCTGTTTTGGTAATATTACAGTAGATACAGAACTATTCTTTGCCAAAGCTTATAAACATCTAATAGTAATAGTTAGGATTTAGGATACTGGCAGAAAACCTTCCACGTTCGGACTTGTTGAGCCACATCATATACGAGGGCAATCCAAAAAGTATGTTCTTCAATTTTTGTCTAGCCTCCGCCTGCGTTAAAGAAAACCTGCGCCCGCGTACCATTTCCCGTTCTAAGTATGTCACAGTCACAAGTGATGTCAGAGCTAGGGATATGCTAGGACCAATGGGTTCCAATATTTTATCCACGGACATTTGGACATTCAAGGGACATCTGAATTTATTAGATAAGGATATTATTACGTTTATTTCGTTTCAACGTCTGTCCGAAAGATCATATACAACTAACACGTTTTACCAGAAGATACCCAATCCAATTACTGCAGTTGTTGATTACCAATGGTGGTATATTAATTTTGAAATCAAGATGAAACAAAATTACAATGTACATGTTTACTACAGATCTCCAAGCTGTAATATTAGCCGATTTTTTGACTTTTTTAAGAGTGTTTGTGAAAAACAGTATTATCGAAATTGCTCCACTGTGCACTTGGGAGACAATATAAATTTTGATAATCATGATTTTTATGTAAAAAAATTTAAACAGGTACTGAACTTTCATGGTATATGGGAAAAAGTTAATGACTGCACAACGATTACAAACTTTTCACGAACTAAGATCGATGTAATAATAACCAATGAACAGAATTTGAGTATTAAGGTTTTACATACTCCAAAAATAAGCGACCATTCGTGGATATTTTTCGAGGTGGAAAATATGTTTAATCAAGAGAAATCACAATTATTGTCTTTGAAACGTTACGAGAGTCACTCTTACAAGCCAATATCACTGAAATTTTTAACGATGCTGACACTTACTTCTAAAAAATTATGGATTGTATGGAGAGCTGCATGAGAGACGCACAAATTAGGAAAGTGGTATATCAAAGGAAAAAGCCAACACTCTGTTTTTCATAAATATTTCTAGACGCGTGATAATGACTATAAAAAGATTATGATCACTCAAACTGAGGAAGATTGGATACAATATAAGAAATCAAGGAACAAGTGTTTAACAACTCTTAGGAACGTAAAGAAAAAATATGAAAACAAAATCGATAGCAATAAAAATAACAGTAAAATGATGTGGAAGACACTAAAAAATATTGTATCTCCCAGTAGGACGAGTGAATTATCAAGAATGTGCTTCAAAGATGGTATAGTGCAACAAAAAATATTGATTGCAGAACGAATGAACGCTTATTTTATAGAAAGTATAAATGAGATAGTGGAATCAATCGAATATGAGTATCCAAATCTATGTATCATGCAAGTTACTTATAATTCTTCTATGAGACAATTCCGAACAATAAATATCAGCCATCTTTCAAAAGCTATTACAAGATTTAAATTGAATAGAAATCCTAGTGAACATCTTTCAAAAATGGTTATGAAGGAATGTTTCAACATTATTGGAGAGAAGTTATTATTGTTAGTGGAATCACTGTTTCGTGTAAGGCGAATTTCCTTCAAAATTAAAATGTTCTGCAATTACTCCTGTTCCAAAAGTGCAAAATTCTGAGTTATATACAAACTTGCGGCCAATTAATGTACTGCCAGATGTCGAGAAGCTCTTAGAAGGAATCATATATGAACAAGTCATTGAATATATTGAAGAAAATAAGATATTGACAAAATTTCAAGCAGGATTCAGAAAAAAGTATTCTACTGAAACGGCAATTCAAATGGTAGTAGAAGAATGGAGGCAAAATATGGATGAAAAAAAGTACAGTAACATTGTTCTTGGATTTCAAGAGAGCATTTGAGACTATTGACAGGGAGAAATTGTTAACGAAATTGCATTGCTATGGATTTCAAGGTTCAGTATTCAACTTATTACAAAATTATTTGATCAATAGAAGTCAAAGAACTAAAATTGGCAATACATTATCAAAGATTAAGAACATTATGGTAGGTGTGCCACAGGGTAGCAAATTATGTCCATTACTATTTATTTTATATATTAACGGTATTCCTGATATTTTACAACACTGCAAAATTCAACTATTTGCTGATGATACATTAATATACAGGGTGACTTTGAAGTTGAGTCATTAATTTTCAGATAATGATTGTAGAAGGAAGATAAACCAAAATATGTGTGTAAAAATAAAAAAAAAATAAAAAAAAATGTTTACCTTGTTTTATAAAGTATCCTCCCGACAAGTATTTCAGTGCGGACCTGTATTTGATCGTGAGGTCCCCTGTGAGGTCTTAAGTCACCTGATTCACAAGCCCGTTGTACTACATTAACAAAGGCACGAGGGGTTGGTTGCACTCGATTGGGAAACCGATCCGCATAAACATGTGCCATTTTTTATTTCGTTTGAGCCACGCAACACATACAACTATTCACTGACACTAACTGTATACAAATGAATGAGATACCTGTAAAAACATCGTTCCAAATTCTTTCGCTTTTTTGTTTCCGATGCGATGAACCGATACGGCGGATTATATCCATTGTCGCCAAACACGACCACATAATATTGTTATTGAGACAGGGCGGTACTCAAACTTCCAAAGGGCTATAACTTTGTTACTTTAATTTTACCAGGAAAATGGTAAAGGAAAAAAACATTTCTTTTGATCAGATCTACTCACTGTTAAA